AAATCCTAAACTAAAGCCATGTATCACCACACCTTTCACTCCCTGAAAGATGATGTTTTTGCCTCATTCCTTTCAGTGTATTACTTGGTCACACTTTTAACTTTCTTACATTTGTATCTTTACCATTTCTCGGCTTTGCAGAAGCATTTGATACCTATTGCCACATCTTCCTGTATCTTCCACATTTAGAGTTTAATTAACTTGTGCATGAGAGGCTTGTTAAAGCAGAGTCTGCCCCTGTAGATTGATTGGCATTGAATGTGTTCTCCTCCTGCTGCAGCCTCCCATATGATAGCCGAGAGGTAAATCTCACCGGCCAGCACGGTCCACTGTGGATGTGAAATTGTGGTCTCCCCTCTGCCTTGGCTAACTAAAGAGAAAAGGTAACAGGAGACTCTGGTCTGATCGTTTGTTGTAGGCTTCAGAGTTTCTGGATCTGTGTACCTGAATCATTAGACAAGGGCTGTTTGAGTGCAGTGGGGTCTTGGATTTGGAGAATTTTCAAAATTTCCACACTCTTTAGTAAATCTATGAAGAGTAAAGTCTTGTCCCTCTCCCCTTGTGTGCACAACATTGGAAGTGTTACATTCCTACTACGGAAGACCCATTTCCTTGACAGTTTTTGGGTAGAACAGTGTTTCTCAATCTTCCCAATGCTGCGGCAACTTTTTTAATATAGTTCCTTGTGTTGTGGTGACCCCAACCATGAAATTATTTTTGTTTCTACTTCAAAACTGTAATTTTGCTACTGTTATTAATCATAATGTAAATATCTTTGCTTTCTGGTAGTCTTAGGTGGCCCCCGTGAAAGGGTCCTTCCACCCGAAGGGTCATAACCCACAGGTTGGGACCTGCTGGTATAAAGCACTTGGGATATCAGGGAAGAGTTTTTACCAATGAAGATGGAAGGAACTCTTAGCTTTTTAATTAACAAAGACTTTGTGGAGACTTTCTTTGGAGATTTTCTTTAGTTATGCCTGGTCCCTGCATGATCTTAGGCTCAAAGTCTCAGGCTTTGCTTTGTAGGTTGGGGTGATAGAGCCTATTATACTTGGCTCATTGTATCACAGAGTGAACTGACTTCACATAGCCCCCTCCCCCTTTTATTTAAAGAAAAGGCTGGATGAGGGCTGAGGGATATAACTCAGTGGCAGGTAGGGTGGTGGTGGTGGCAGCTCACCCTGACTCACTCTCTTTGCAATCAGCTAACCCACTGGATTTGAACTTGTGATCCTTCTGCCTCAGGGTCTTCATTCTACCCAGGGGAGGAATGGAGCAGAAAGCAGACCAACAAAGTCCCTCCCCAGGGAATCTAGGGGGAGGAAGTGCTCATCTCCTCCAGATGTTAATACAGGAGAAGAAAGAGTGCCTTGCCATCCATGGTAGGTTCATGGTTGAGGAATCTAGAACAAAACCCAGATAAACAAGAGAAACACATGCGATGTGTCAAATGGCATGGAACTCCTTAGAAGGAGAGGACCCAAAGAAACTGGGAAACCCAAGTTGCTAAGTTCTTCTCAGTTTATTATGGAAGAGCGAAACCCCCCTTTGCTAGGATACCTTACCATGACTGTCCGTTCTTTATTCTCTTTTCCTCAAAATAAGTCAGTCTAAATGATGGCTCCTTAGAAGGAAGAGACATACCCAGAAAAAAATAGAGTTGTGTTGGGTGTTTGTGATCTGGTTACTTATGACCTTAAGTTTAGTGGAGTCGGTACAGTTTGGGAAATCTTTGGTTATAGATTTTGAGGTTAAGGAGACCTGGAGGAAACTAGTGAAGGTGGAAACTATCTGGTGGAGACGCCGGTGTTCCCACCTTCTGTCTGTTACCCTGGACATATCCCTTCACTCCCATACATGAATACTCTATCTAGCCATTATAGTCCATAAGTTCCAAATAGCTAATTTCTACTTCTAGTCACATGTTTATTCAGCAAGGTTTTCATGGGCGAATGCCTCAGATTTTCTGAACTCTCATTCATCTTCCCTTCCATATTTACATTTTACTTGTACTCACTGTAGTCATTGCTAAGTTGTCTGGTATTATACAGTTGAGTGGATATGTGAGCAAATGACTCCCCAGTTACTGAAAGCAGTTATTAATGAAATTATGGTACTAATAGTAGGCATTATCCAAGGACTTCTACACAGACACCACGCACATCATATGTATTAACAGTGCAGCCTATAATGTGGGCACTTTTGATAGATACACCTTATGAACCAGGGAACTGAGTATTAGGGAAGGAAAGTGACTTGTCATGGTCATATGTAGGATTGGAGTGAGGGCAGGAAAGGAGCCAAAGGGTCTGGCTCCAAAACCAAGATCCTCCTTCACTACAAGGCATACAGCATTTGCAGTCAGTCATATTGAGTGATTGTAAAAGGAAAAATGGGATTGGGACACAAGGGATACTATTAGTATCATTCCAGATATTGTTATAAATGATTTTGTGTGGATTTTGAAAATACAAGACTAAAATAATCATTCTGTCATATATTAGCATAATATGTAAATTAGAACTAGGAAGGAGTCTTTACTTGACTGAGGATACATGGCCGGAAACAGACAGGGTTCCAGCAGGTCTAGAATGAGCATCCATAGCTTTTGCAAGATTATACACAGCTGTTTGCTCACACAGAGCAGGAAAGCTCACAAAGCATGTCTATAGCAACTGTTGCCTCTGTTTCTTTCAAACAGGTTTTAGGCTGTGAAAGCACCTTGGTGTTTCAGAGATGGGCAGGGACCCGGGACTCTCTGGAGAATGGAAACACTGACTTACTTCTAGTTCAAGATCCTTTTCATTCTGTCATACCAGGCTTCCGGGGAATCCCATGTTGATAAACTTCCCAGATGCCTGGTTGTCTTTAAGAATCTTGCTCATTGTTCTAGTCTGATTGGACAGGCCCGGTGGGAAGTTTCCTGGGCTCGTTGAACTTTGTGTGGCAGCCAGTTTTGGTTCTTAATCTGTTTTAGGAAAAGTCTGAGAGTGGCATAGAGGATGAATTAAAGCAAAATTGGGCTCTCACTTGGGCCTGGTTAGAAACTTTTGGGTGTGGGGTCCAGCAGTTGGCATTAACAAGCTCTTAAAGGTGTGTCTAATGCCTGCTTAAGATTGATGTCATGAAGTCAAAGCCTCTGTCCTCAGGGAGGCATTCTTGGGGGAGCTTTGGAGCTTAGTTCTGAAGGGATAGCCTTCTCCATTCGTGGGATGGCCTTGGGAGCAGAGAGGATGCATGTCTCCAGGAGGAAATCTGACCAAGATGGAAGCCCTTGGTAGGCAGTACTGACAGCCTGCTGGGAGTGGCTGGGTTCAGGTCTAGGCAGACCTCACACAAAACAACTTTGAAGGGCTGTGTCTTCTTTGTTTGCCCTGGGCTGGGACAGGTGTGGATCCTCCAGATGACAGCTGAGATGCGGAGGTGGCTGTTTGTTGGCAAGGAGAGCTTCTAGCCACAGCCCATTTCCTGGTAGTAGAGGTTGAGGTTAGGGAGAACTGAGGGTGTGTGTGTGTGTGTGTGTGTGTGTGTGTGTGTGTGTGTGTTGTGGGGATGGGAGGGGTTGCAGAGAAGCCAGGAGCACTCAGCAGCAGGGAAGGGAAAGATTAGCCCTGGATGCCTGGATATGTAGATCAGGCTGGCTTACAGAAGTCTTACTAAAGTGCGCTCTGCCACACACACAGCTGCCGCGTGACAGGATTCTTGTTCTTGGAATAGAATCCATCCCCTCAACACTGTAGTTTGTGACTTTGGCCTAGTTCCTGTCACTTCTCTCATTTTCTGTCTTTCCTGCTGCACATGCAGCATAGAATCCCCCCTCCCCTGAACCCAGATACTCCCATGAGTCACCCCACTGTGTAGCAGTTAGGGAACATCTTTCCATCATGACGCTCATCAGAATCAGGCCTCCCTGTGTGACCCCTTCTCTTCCAAACCCTCATCTAATTAGTGCCTGCTGTGGGCAGGGTTTGTTGGTCCATCTCTTTTTCATAACAGCCCAGGAAATAGATTGCCATTCTCCCATTTTACAGATAAGGAAGTAGAGGCCCAGCTATGTTATAGACAGAGTTGGCACTGGGACTTAGAAAACGACGTCCCAGAACGTGGTAGCACATGCCTAAAAACCCTGGTGCTTAGGAAGCCAAGGCAGGCCGGTGGGTTACCATCATTTCTAGGCTGGTCTGGGTTACATAGTGAGGTCAGGGCTGTAGTTAAGAAAAAGACTGAAAGGAAGGAAGAGAAAAGGAAATGGGTTTCCCAGACAGACATGGGTTTTGAAGCTCCTGCTTTGATAGTCTGCATGCCAAAGCACTGTACTTTGGGGTGCCATTTTCTCTTTCTCTGCCTTTGGAAGGTGGGGGTGGGGTGGGTTGGGTTGGGGGGGTATCTTCTTTGAAGTCTGACAGGGGAAATAGTTCCAGAGAGAATGTAGCTCTGTGTCTCCTCCTTCTGTCCTCACCACTTGGGAAGATGAGCCAGAGCATAGAATACTGCAGTGGGTAGACACTGCCTGCACGGCCAGAGGCTCTGTCTAGAAATGGGGCCCAGAGTTTCATGCCTATAATTATAGCACTTGGGGGATAAGGCAGGGGAGTTGCTGTGAGTCCCAGGCCAGCCTGGGCTCTAGTGTCAGACTCTGTTTCAAAGAGCAGACCCAAAATAAATACAATCATCTGTTGTCTCTGGCTCCAGTTCCCTCTCCTCTGCGTAGGATTATGTGCTTTCAAATCTTAATGTGGGTGATCGGGCGCTCACTGTTCGTCCTTGCTGTGCACCTGTGTGTGTAGTACATGTGTGTGCCTTTTCTCCTGCCCACCTGTTTTATAGACTCAGAGCATTGGCCTTACAGAGGGCAGGGGAAGCTCCTTTGCCCCAGAATTGGGAAGTGGCAAGGGGGAGGAGTTTCGGCTGGTCACCGCAGTCCCCTTCCCCTACACCTTGGGACAAGGTGGTGGCAAGTAAAAGTTACAAAAATCCTGTCTTTTTGCTTTTTCCTCCAGTTCATCAGCCAAGGTGGATCTCAAGAGTGGTCTGGAAGAGTGTGCAGAGGCATTGAACTTATTTCTAAGTAACAAATTTAAAGATGCCTTGGAATTGCTTCGTCCGTGGTAATTAGCTCTATTTCTTGTTAGATATTTTTCACATGTTTCTCTGATGTCATGTTTCTATGTTGATGTATCTGTGTCTGCCTCAGTATTTATGAAACCCCTTGCCACGTTTGTTCTCTGGAGGGAGGTCTTCACATAATTGCTCCCTCTGTCCCCCGACAGCGCTTCCTTTGAAATGAGCAGGGGAGTAACGAGAGTAGCCGAGTCTCAGTGCTAAAATCAAATGTAAGATATGAGGAATATGACCGGGGCTCCCTGCTTCTGTCATGGAACTTACCAGCCCTGAGCTTTGCAGGCTTGGCAGCGCCTCTGCCCTGCCTGCTCACTGCCCTCAGCTCTGCACGTGAAAGGCTGCAGAACCGATCTAGAGGAAGACTTGGTGCTGAAGTTGGGAGTCCAGTCCCCCACGAGTGGCCAGTGGTGTCCCTCGGACCAATGCTTCTTTTTGGCTCCCTTGCCTTCTGACTCAGCATCTTTGTCTGCCTCCTGTGTGTGTGTTTTTTTAAACAGATCTCCTTTTCATCTCTACCGTCTGCTTATAAAATAGCATAAAAATAAATTAGTTTCATGGTCTCTGCCCTTTATGCATAATTCACTGTTAAAATTCCCTTTTCACCGCACTTGAGCGTGAGGTTTGAACTGGCACTGGTGACTCTGGGGTGAGTGGGCAGTGCCCTCATTCAGGACCAAGGCTACACGGGTTTCATGTAGCCCAGGGATGCTGAGTCATAGTACTTAAATTTAAAACAAGCCTCACATAGACACCTCAAACCTGAACAATCAGCGTAAGAGGACTTGAGGCGAGCAAGCAGTCTCAGACTGTCACCACGAGCCTGATAACCTCGGCTCTCAGGATTCAGTCAGGGGTCCCAGGTATTAGACCTCAGGCTCACTGTGGTCAAGTGTCTGTGCTCATGAACTGATTGGTTGCTTCCTCTTGGCTTTGGCTGGAGAGGCGATAGCAGGGCTTTTCTTTTTTCTTTGTGTCTTTCACATCATGAATCCTGATCTCACCCATCTCCTGTCCCCTTGCATCTGCCCTCTTCTCCTGCAAACCCCCCCCCCAAATAAAACAAAACAAAATTTAAGATAAAAAAGGAAGGACCGGAGAATCTTGTGGAAGCTGCAGTGTGACACGGTGAATCATGCAGTAAACCCTCCATCCATCTTTTTTTTTTTACATGCAGGCATTCACCACAGTCATTGGTTTGGTTTGAGGCCTCTGGTCTCTGCTGTACTATCCACTCTGGGCCCTTACTTAACCCTTCCTGGACTTGCCATTGCTGCCCTGTGTTGTGGATATCCTGTAGCCCTGGGTCTGCAGGACCACGCCCCCTACTCCTCCACCCCCCTCCCCTGCGTGCAGATCATGGATGGGGTGAATATTGGGGTGGGCCTACACTTAACCCTAGTTTAAGGGTTAAGGGCCTTAAGGGTTCTAAGCCTGGGTAGTTGCAGCAGGGTTGGTCAGCCCGCCAGCTCTCCCCTGTCCTCATCACCAGGGTGAGCTCTCCAGCACTGGCCTGGCTAGTGCAAGGGGCAGGGTTAGTGAGGAGATAGTAGTTTTAAAGGTGCCTTTCCCGTGTCACACAGATATTTTGGATTTTCTTTTCCTTTTTCTCTCCCTCCCTCCCTCCCTCTCTCCCTCCCTCCCTCCCTTTTTTGTGAGATAGGGTTTCTGTAGCTCATGCTAGCCTCAAACTCACAGAAGATGACCATGAATCTCTGAACTCTGGTGTCTATGTCTAGGGATGCTAGAATGGAAGTTGTGTGCCACCCAGCCTCACTCATTTCAGATTTGAAAATGGTACACTGCCCTCCCTATTCAACTGGAAAAAAAATCTGTGTGCTTTCAGACTTTTTCTAGGAAACAAATCAAGTGGCTGCCCCCTTGTGCTGAATCAGGGGAAGGCATCTTGTCTGCAGCACTTTGTTCTGTTGTGAGGGTTTAGATGGGAGCTTGAGATTTTAACAGAGCTTGTGTCATTTCAGTACCTGCAGCAGAAGTCACTTGCATGGGGAGCATTTGGTATTGCTGGTAAAGGAAAGAACCTGGACTTTTATTCCTTTTTCTTTCATTGTATTGAGATGTACTCTTTGTCTGTTCTCTTCAGGGCCAAGGAGAGCATGTACCATGCTTTGGGATACAGTACCATTGTGGTGTTGCAGGCTATTATGACCTTTGAGCAACAGGACATCCAGAATGGCATTTCTGCCATGAAGGACGCTTTGCAAACCTGCCAAAAGTATGACCAAGTAGTTAATATCTGAGTTAAGACACCAAACCTTCTTGCCATAGTACAGAGTGGGTATAGTTTGCCAAGCTAAGGTCTTGAGTTTGAGGCTGGCCAGAGTTATGCAGCAAGTCTTCAGCTTCAAAATCTTTTGGCTAATTCATTTCTGTGCAATGGAATTCAAGATGTCCTACGGGGAATTATAATATGACTCCCATTTTAGCCCCTGTACCCACATGGGGTCTGAGCTATAGTTAGAATCTGAGGGAGGCTTCAGAAGAGCTTAGCAGAGAGCATCTTTCTAGGTCTTCTGAGTTTAAGAACCGAGTACCATGTTGGGTCAAGCAGGGAGTGTGCCATTGGGAGAAACAGCACATTCAGTAGGGAAGGGAATTTTTATTTGCCTAAGGGTGCGCTTGGACACTCTTTGATTACCAAATGAGGTAGAGTGTCAGTTTTAAATGCTACTTTGCATGTAGAAGGCCTTAGGGAAAGCCATTATTTGTGCTAGTGAGCTTCAATGTGGGTAATTATGTTGTAAATCCTCAATGAAGAGCATTTTCCTAACAGTCCGGTTTTCACCTGTGGAGATGCTTACCACAGAAATTCTACTTTTATCCAGAAGAACGAGGGGGATTTTATGCAGGGTTTATGCTCATTGGGGTATGTGGGCTCTGCACCATGGTTGGCAGTGCAGGCCTAGGCAATGTATGCAGCACTGGGAGAGGAGGGATTGGCCTTGCATACCCGGCCGGGGCTTATAGCAAGAATGAAACGATTATCAGTAATGACAAGCTCAGTCTGATGCTGGCCTTTCCCTTTCTCTTCTCTTTCCCCTGTCTATCTTCAATACAGATACAGAAAGAAATGCACAGTTGTAGAGTCTTTCTCAAGTCTCCTCTCTCGTGGGTCCCTGGAACAACTGAGTGAAGGTGAGAGTGTGGGGGAAGCTTTCGCTGCCTTTCCTTCAAAGAGAAAGGCGTCTCTGTCCTGCAGCCTGTCGCTGAATTGGGGACGATGAGGAAAGTGTTCTTTTCCATATGCTACTCATACCTGACCCACCTCAGCTGTGGACACACTGAGTACAAGCACTAATACATAGAAGGAACACAGGGAGTTTTGTTTTTCATTTGCTGTGTGTGTGTGTGCGCGCGTGCGCGCGTGCGTGCCTGCGTGCCTGTGTGTGTGTGTGTGTGTGTGTGTGTGTGTGCGCACGTGCACGCGCTTGCAAACATTGAGCCACACACATGCTCCAATGTGATCTGGACCCACATCAGTGTGCGTTAATGCATTTTATCTGTTCAGAGCTGTTCAGTCATGAACAGGATGGTACAGCAGTGTGTTGTTTTTTTCTTACTGAAGGGCAGCTATATGGCTTTAATTTTTTCATTGTTAGTAAAATTTGCTGTCCTAAAAGCCTTTGTACACGTCTTTGTTCTTTCAAGTATTTCATGAGCCAGTTTCCTAAAAGAAGAATTACTGCAACTAAGGGCTTGAAATTTTACAGTATTTATAGACATTGATATTTTTTTTTCTCTCAGAAAACCTTTATATTCAACCACCTTGGAGAGATTCATTTTATATAGACTGTTAATATTTTTCCAAGGTGAAAGCACATTTTTTTTGTTTTTGAGACAGGGTCTTTCTATGTAGTCCTCACTGGCCTGAACTCACTATTTAGATCAGGCTGACCTTGAACTCATGGAGATTCACCTTCCTCTGCCTCCCAAGTGCTGAGATTAAAGGAGTGCACCATTGTGTCCAGGTAGTTTTTATACCTTTAAAAATGATAACGCTTGTCTATATAGCTGTTGAAGATGTTTGGTTTGTGGGCTTTGAGAGTAGCCAGGAGTTCAGGAATATTTATAGCACTCGATCAGATAGATGGGAGGAAACATCCTTGTCAGTTGTTTCAGATTCCCAGTAAGATGAAGGCAGAAGTGGCCTAAGCAGTCCCATAAAGAAGGGTGGCCCACCACCAAGGAGCATCCGGTAACTCTGTAGAAGCAGGCCTGTCTCAGGAGACTTTGTGTTTACATTGTCATTTTCAAACTTGGTCTGCGGGAGAGGTAGTCAGCACTAAATTCTGGAAGTATCCGTGGCTGGGCATGGCCATCAGAGGCTGTCATGATGGTCAAGTGTATGCCTCACTTGATTTATCATGGGCCTTTGTTTGCTTTGTAGGTGTTATCTGCTGGTTTGGGAAATCAGAGAAGTTATGCACATTTGAGTGATGAGAGTGTTGAGTGCTGATTACAGTTGAGGATTGTGACACATCATGCCTTTAGGACTTGCTGAAAAAGAGGATAGTGTTGACTCAATCATTACAGAAACAGATGGTATTTTGTTGGTTACCACAGGCAGTTGAAATCCATCTTCTTTTTCATTAGAAACTGACCTTTAAGCATCTATAAGAATAAAAGCTGGTACTATTAGGCCTAAAGTCTTCCAGAGATGATCCATGAGAGGTGAAATTGGCCCCAGTGTGACTCTGGTATCTGTCTGGTGTCTTTATTCTCCCTCCTGGCATCCTCCAGATGGTTGTCACTTTGTTACAGTTACCTAAGAGGAGGCTAGTCAGGTTACTGAATATAAGCTGCCAATTTGAATTTCCCTGAGGATACTGAGGAGGCTCACTTTGAGGGAAGGTGTCCTGGAGACTGCCATCTTGACCAGTAGCAATGCCAGAATGTGCACAGACTTCTGTGGTTTCTACCCTGTGTGCCTCTCTATTGTTGGGGAACTCAGCTGCATATTACTTCCTCATAAATTGAACATTTAAGTTGAGAGAGCCTATGGATTATGTGTGTATAAAGGAAGGAAAACTATACATACTTTTCTAGTTTGGTCAACACTGTTTCCAGTTGCCCTGAGTTGTCCCATCACTTGAATTGAAAAGGCCCTTTGCCTTCTGAACCTTTACCCGGAAGCATAGACATGGGCCAAGGGCAATAATGGTGAAAGTTGCCAGCAGTCATCAGGGCTTACTGTGTCTGGTAAGCACTATGGGCCATACTCATTTGATCCTCAGTTGCAAAGTAGAGATGTTATTAGTGGGCCGTATGAATGAGGGGACCAGCAGAGAGGGAGGGCAGCCTGTGCAGCGCTCTGTACTAGCATGTGGCAGTCTCCTCCACGCTCATTTACTTAATGAGCACACCAATTTGCCTCCTATGGAGAAAGGAATATGATGATTTTGTTTATGTAGAAATGTAAAGATTTCTTTCCCTGATCTCTGCAAATGTCACGGGTCGTCTAGGAAGTCAGGGCATGTTTGGGGTGGTGTGCTTATCCCTGGACTGGGCATGGCTTTGTCAGCTTGTCCTTGTGAGCACGCTGTGCTTGTGCTCAGGTCTGAAAACGCTGTACATTGGAGAGTAGAGCTACTTTGATGCTGTCTCAAAGGAGTTCTGACTTGTGCACCCAGGAAAGTAGGTCTTCTTACAACTCCAGGGAGTGGTGGCTACTCAGGGGTTGACAGTGTATCTATCAGTGTTGTGATGCCCATGACTTCATAGTTTAGAAGTTAGAATCCGTAAGTTTAATGAACCTTTCAATCTATACAACTGCTAAATGTTTATGCTATGATTATTTTAAAGTAGTTTTCTTCTTTCAAAAGGGCTTTTGAATTTTGTTTTCCTTAGTCAGGCGTGGTGTTTCATGCCTATAATCTCAGAACCAAGATGTTGAGGCTGGTGGATTGCTTTGAATTCAAGTGTAGTCTGGACTACTTTGGGCTCCAAAGTGAGACCCTGTCTCAAACAAATAGTTGGTTTCCTCTTCTGTCCGAGACTCACTCTGCTGCCAGTGTTGAATGGGCAGGAGATGACTTCCCTGAACAGTTCACACGTTCTAGGAGATTCTTGTGCCAGGACTAAGAACACGTCATCCTGTATCACTGGAAGCATGCAAGGAAGCATCCCTGGCCTTTGTGTCTTCCAGCCTTTTGAGAATGTCTAGAACAACACTGTGTCTTAATATAATTGTATTTGTTTTTATAATAGAGGAAATGCATGCCGAAATCTGTTATGCTGAGTGTCTCCTACAGAAAGCAGCACTCACATTTGTGCAGGTAATAAACATTGGGCTGAATATTGGGGTTGTATGGGAAGCCTGCCAGCATTGTGTAGAAAATGGTACGCGTTACTCATCATGTGTTAGCACTGAGACTAGGGTGGTAATGAAAGATATTTGTTGTCTTGATAAAGTTTGCCTGAAAAAAGTCTCCAGAGAGCTGTATTCCCACTCAGATGTACTTAGTGGCTGTTTCAAATGGCTTTTAGGATGCTTCTTAGTATGAAAACAAAGAGGGCTCCAGTTTGCACATGTGTTGTCCAGGCTGAGACGCCCCCTCTCTCCCTTCAACATGGTTTCTCTGTGTAGCCTGGGTGTCCTGGGACTCTCTGTAGACCACATGGCCTCAAACTCACAGAGATTCCCCTACTTCTGCCTCCCAAGTGCTGAGACCTCTGCACATGGCTTATTGTGCCACATGCTTCTGTGAAGTTCAGTACACATGCATGGGTAGCCACGCTTTTCATGGTCCCTTCAACTTTTTACTTACCCCTATCCTTTCTGTCCTCATTCCCCTTCCTTGCCTTTGCCTCAAGACAGGGTCTCATTCTGTAGCTGTCCCTGGAACTCTCTATAAATCTAGGTTGTTTTTAAACTCATGGAGATCCACCTGCCCTTGCCTCCCAATTGCTGGTCACCAAGCCTGGACAGAATAATTTTTAAAAGTTAAGGAATTGGTACTTTAATTTCACCTGTCACCTATGTGTGTCTCAATGCTTTGGAAACATGAACTCTGCATATGGCCCAGTGATGGCTGTTGTGATGGACAGGAGATAATAAGGAGGCAGAAGACCAGCTCAAACTTCTAAATTATTTTGAAGTTATTTCTCCGGTTTTTAATTTTTTTTTTTTTTTTTGGTGGTAGTGATATTTTTTTTCCCCTGCAAGTTGACATGTTAGCTTAGAGTCTGGTTCAATAAAATTGAATCAATGTGGCCCTTTTATCCTGTTCCCCGAAGCCCTGAAGAAAACCCAGACAGGTTACCAGTAACAGTCTCACCACCTCAGTAGCATCATGATGTGAGTCACAGAGGCCCCAGCTTCTTCCTTATGTGTTTTCCAAAGATTTGACAATCAAATATTAGGTTTGCAAGTTTGTTTTGTAATTGGGGACTTGAAATCAAACATCTTGGTGGTTTCCATGACCTCTTGTCTTCCTCATGTCTGCCTGTGGTCTCTTCCTTGTCCATGCTTTGTCTGGTTAAGGATCTGCAGCTCCATCCCTTCCTCCGTGCTCCCACCATCACTGCCCCTGCAGAGGTACTCACCAGCTCCACCCCTTCCTCCGTGCTCCCTCCATCACTGCCCCTGCAGAGGTACTCACCAGCTCCACCCCTTCCTCCATGCTCCCACCATCACTGCCCCTGCAGAGGTGCTCTTCAGGCCCACCCCTTCCTCTGTGCTCCCTCCATCACTGTCCCTGCAGAGGTACTCACCAGCTCCACCCCTTCCTCTGTGCTCCCACCATCACTGCCCCTGCGGAGGTGCTCTTCAGGCCCACCCCTTCCTCCGTGCTCCCTCCATCACTGCCCCTGCGGAGGTGCTCTTCAGGCCCACCCCTTCCTCCGTGTTCCCTCCATCACTGCCCCTGCAGAGGTGCTCTTCAGGCCCACCCCTTCCTTTGTGCTCCCACCATCATGGCTTTTGCAGAGGCACTCACCAGCTCCACCCCTTCCTCCGTGCTCCCTCCATCACTGCCCCTGCAGAGGTGCTCTTCAGGCCCACCCCTTCCTTTGTGCTCCCACCATCACTGCCCCTGCGGAGGTGCTCTTCAGGCCCACCCCTTCCTCCGTGCTCCCACCATCATGGCTTTTGCAGAGGCACTCACCAGCTCCACCCCTTCCTCCGTGCTCCCACCATCACTGCCCCTGCAGAGGTGCTCTTCAGGCCCACCCCTTCCTTTGTGCTCCCACCATCACTGCCCCTGCGGAGGTGCTCTTCAGGCCCACCCCTTCCTCCGTGCTCCCACCATCATGGCTTTTGCAGAGGCACTCACCAGCTCCACCCCTTCCTCCGTGCTCCCACCATCACTGCCCCTGTGGAGGTGCTCTTCAGCTTTTGTCAAATTGATTATACAGACTGCTGTTGAGTATTTCTGTCCCTGGTTTCTTTTTACCATCCCGCCTTCTGTGATTGAGGACTCAGTTAGAAACAAGACTCTCTCTTGCCTTGTTATTTTCTGCTGCTGTATTTCATGGCTTTCATGGGATCTGTCAGTGTTCTGTATCAGAATATTACAAATTGGGAAGGGATTTCCAGGCTGTACTGGTGCCTTCCCCAAAACCCCCTGTTCTCAACTCTTACGATTGTCCTCAGGTGCTACTCACCCCGGGCACAGGGGTCGAGGTAGCATCCCTTGTCCTTTGCTCCTTCCTTCTCTGCAATAGCTGTTCCGATAGCTCTCATCTCCATGCATGCAGATGCTGGCCTGGCCTTGACTGCTTCCTGGTGTATCCAGCTGAGGGCTGCTTTGTCTTCCTTCCTTCACCTGGTCTTTCCTTGTCTTTTCTTGGTGCTAAAAGCACCAATGCTTCCAGGAGGGTTTTCTGGCTGATGTCATGCTCCGCTTTGTGTTCTCTTGACATCTGTGCATGTCTCCATCACTGTGCATGCATAGTCACTTAGCACATCATATTGCTCTTGCATGCAGGTGCCCAGCACAAAATAAGCATTTGGTCAGTGTTTGCTGAATCGTGGAGTGAAATACCCTTATTTGAATCAGAGTTTAGTCTGACCCAAGAAATTTCTTTCTGTCTTGTATTTGAACTTGTATAAGAGTTCTTAGAATAAGAATATCAAAATTGAAGTTCCATAGTCAATTTTGTATTTACTGACTTGTATAATAATAGGAATGTTAAAGATTTAAGTAACGAATGAGAATAATAAAGTAAAACAGTTTCTCCTTTGCAAATCTCCTTAGAAGTGTGGAGTATGGTCTTGTGTCTTGTAGCACCTTTAGCATAACATCCTTTAGTTGGCTATTTGGTATAACTTATTAGGAGGAGTCTCTTTTAGAATGCTGGTCCTGAAAGTGCCATTCATCTATGTCAAAACTGCCTCAATATGATGACCGATAACCCTCAGGCAAAGAGAAGTGAAACAGTCCTCTACCCCCAAATTGCATATTAGTGGCAACCACATCAGAATTTAGATCAGTGGTTTTTGGTCTGCAAATTTATAGGAGTACAATCTACAATGTTAAGTAGACTGCTTCATGCATTGCCAGAGAGAAGAACCATTATCCCATTTACTGGGTATGGTGGATGGAGAGTTTGGCCTTAAAGCAGATTTGTGTAGCCAAGTGTTCTGGATACCACTGATCCTGCAATAGTGTTGTTCAGTAGATGTTGACGTTTACTGAAGTAGCTTTGGATTACATTTGTGATGATTACTTTCTTAGAAATACAAGGTAATGCAAGCTTCTTAAAAGTGTATTCTCACCACCTTCAAACTTGTAAGGAAATTACAAAACGACACATTTCAAATGTAAAGCAAGAATCGTGTCAACTTCAAAATTATGTTCTCAAAATGCATTTGGGACCAGGGATACAGCTTAGTGGCAGGGTGTTTGTTTACTCAGCATGCTCTAGGTTCCATTCCCAGCAAAACACACACACACGCGCGCGCGCACACACACACACACACACACACACACACACTTTCTCATTACTCATTATACAAATACATACTGTTTATTTTTCCCCCTAAATGCTCTAATTATTTAATTGTATTATTTCCAGGATGAAAATATGATCAACTTCATCAAAGGTGGACTCAAAATTAGAACAAGTTACCAAATATATAAGTAAGTTACAAAGTAATACGTGACTTAAATTGAAATTAAATTAAATTATATATTTTTGAAGACACAAGTGTTGGTCTTAGAGTCAAGTGTTATCACTCCACTGATTGGCTTGTAAAAGGATTCTCTTGGGCTGTACAGTTCTGTTCTTCAAAATTCTTACGAACTTAGTGTGGCTAGATTTCTTCATTTGGTGTTGGTAAATCTATTTGACTCTTGCCTGAGTGTATTCAGTGCTATAAGACAGAGAGGTTTAATTGTACATACATTTCCAAGAGCAAATATTGGAAGAGAAAGTGGCAGACGCACCTTTCTTTATCTCTCCTAAGACGTTTTAGTGTATTTTGTATTTATGTTGTTATTTATATATTGTTTTCTTGAGATTCACTGTATAGCAAAGCCTGGCTTTAAGCCTCTGATTCTCCTGTCTGAGACTTTGGAGTGCTGGGATCACAGACATGTGCTACTACATTTGGCTTGCTTTAATTAAAAACTTAAAAAAAAATCTATAATTTTGTGTCTCTAGTTTTCATGGTTGCTATAGTGATATTATGTTAGTTTCTTGCCTTATTATAGTTAGTTTAGAGTTAATAGGTACTGTAAGAGGTAAAATGTAAGAGCTTTGTAAACAGTTTAACTTGCCATCAATTGGTCTTTATTGTAGCTTCCTTCCTGTTGGTGTGATCAACATTCAAGTTGAAAACAGTTTAGGGGAAGAGGGGACTTAATTGGCTCACACTTCCAGGCCACTGTTCATCATTGAGGGAAGTCAGAGCAGGATCTCAAGCAAGAACTTGAAGCAGAAACCACGAAGAAACACTGCTTTCTGGCTCATGCATAGGCTCATGCTCAGCTTCCTTACATAGCCCAGGACCTTCCTAGGGGATGCTGCTGCCCATAGTGGGCTGCATCTTCCTAAAGCAATTAGTAACCAATCTCTCACAGACTTGCCCACAGGCCAGTCTAGTTTTGATAATCCCTCAACTGAGAATCCCTTCTTAGGCAACTCTGGACTATGTCAAGTTGACCATTTATAGGACAGTCTTTTAACTATTCTTACGATGTGTTCTATATGTGTATCATTAAACCCATAACACAGCATCAACTTTTTGTTTCAGAGTCCTTTGTCTTACTCTTCTCTGCTTACCACTGTGTTTGGCATCGTTTCTGTTCACTTTTATGCTGATGAACTAGTATCTCTCATAGTATCAACTTTCAACATTTTTCTTCCGTTTTCATTTATTTGAAAACCAGCTTATTTTGACTTTTACCTTCAAGGCTATCCTTGCTAAGTGTAGTATTCAGAGTTGTTACCATGTTATTTGCAGCCCTTTAAAACTACCACTCTGTCACACTGGTGCTTGTATTGTTTAGACCTCCGCTGTTGTGTAATTGTTCTATATATCTTCTGTTTTTGTTTTGCTTTTAGTTTTTTGTTTTTCAAGACAGGGTTTCTGTTTGCTTTGGAACCTGTCCTGGTACTTGCTCTGTAGACCATGCTGGCCTTGAATGTAAAGAGATCCTCTTGCCTCAGTCTCCCGAGTGCTGGGATTAAAGGTATTCGCCCAGCCTGTTCTATATATCTAATGTGACTTTTTTCCCCTGGTCTTCTTGAAGAATATGTTGTATCTTTGCACTTCAGCAATTTGATTTTAGGCTTTTGTGGCCATTATTTCTTCAAAGGTTTTTTCTTTCTTTCTTTCTTTCTTTCTTTCTTTCTTTCTTTCTTTCTTTCTTTTTTTTTTTCTTTTGGTATCTTCTGCATCCTCTGAATCTCTAAGTGCACCCCAGTAAGCCTGATTATGTTCAACAAGTTACATACATACCCACACCTACTTTTTTATTTTAGGTTAGACCCAAAAATGTGGGTCATCTTGGAGTCAATTTCTTTTCGTTGCTTTTTCTGTTGACTATATGTTTTCCTGAGGAGTGATTTTTAAATTGTATGCTAGATATTGATGGATCTGTAGAGACTCTGGATTCTGTCATTTTTTTTTCTCTGAAGTGTGCCAAGCTCTGTTCTGGGAAGCAATTCATTTGCTTAGACTTGGGCTCCAGAGTCTTACTGTAGCAGGGACATCATGGCTGCACCTCTGTTGTGTTGTCTTCCCCTGCTGTCTCTCGGACCCTTCCCTAGTCACATAGCTGATGGGTCCGCCAAGACTTCCAGTGTTGTTGTGACGTCTATTTTGGTGTTCCCATCTGTGTTGTTCTCTCATCTATGGAAATGTTCATCCAGCTCCTCTAGCTGATTGGAACTCCATCTTCTGACTTTGAACCCAGTGAATCTGTGGCTTACAGATGTGTTCTATGCACGCCATAAGGAGTGGGGCATGCTTGCAGGCACATAGACACATAGATATAAGATTAATTCATGAGCTATTTCCTGCTTTCAAATTTAGCTCTTCTCCAGTTTCTGCCTACTCCATCCACCTTCAGTTTCCAAGCCATAATATATATATATATATATATATATATATACACACACACACACACACACACACACACACAAAAACACACACTTGTGTGTGTTTTTGTGTGTGTGTGTGTGTGTGTGTGTACTTTTCAGAGTTTATAATTGTTATGTGTGGGAAAGCAAATCTTACATAAGCTTCCTGCCATTACTGGGAACAAATCCCATTACCAGAAGCAGAACCTGAATCAGTATTTCAAGAGGCGCTTTTTACCAGTAGTCATTATGTAAACCTGGAACCCATTTAAAAAAAAAAAAAATCTTCCAAGAGGGAGCAGATTTGGGGAACTTGGCATGATGTTTTAAGATTTCCTTTCCAAGTATTTTTTAGAAGATTTAAGAGTTGATTGCTTTTCCAGTCATTTAAACAGTGCTGTGGTGACAGAGACACCTGTATCGTGCAGTGACAGGGCTTTGAAACAGGGCGTGTGTGGGTGTGGGTGTGTGTATGTATGTGTGCATGCGCGCACATGTGTGCGTGCATGCATGCATGTACTTTCACACACTGATGTTTAGCTGGAAGTTCACACTACACTGAGTTCCTATTTATACATGAATCCTTCCAAAATGGTGGAGAAAGAGAAATATTTTAAATAAACATTTTTTTGGAAAAATGTTTTAAGGAAAAAACTGCCATTAATATAAAAATAAATTTCAACAAGATCTAGCACTTAAAAATTTTTAAAGTTTAATTACGGAAGAACATAGGGAAATATTTTATGATCTTAAAATTAAAAACTTGGGGCTGGAGACATGCTTCAGAAGTTAAAAGAGCACTTCCTGATTCCTCACAGGATCCATGTTTGGATCTCAGTGCCCACTTTGGTGGCTCACAAATCCCTGTGATTCCAGTTCCAGGCAGTCAGAGGCCAATTGTTCACACACAGACACATGCACATACACACACACACACACACACACACACACACACTGTAAAAATTAAAAAGCTTTTAAGTTATGTGAAAATTTTCTACTTTGAAATAATTATAATTTTCATATATCTATTCAGATTTATAGATATAATCATTTCCTAAAATAAAAAGGTCAATTATGGTTTAAAGTCAACTTTTAAACTTTGATTAAAATGTTTCATTATGCGAACTGGAATGACTCAGTGGTTAAGCATTCATAACTACTCAGGCAGTGGATCCAAGTTCAGTTCCCAGCACCCGGGTTGGGTGGTTCTCAACTGCCTGTCACTCTAGATCCAAGGGACCTGGTGCCTCTGGTCTCTTTGGGTACCCATATGCAAAGCAACACACCATACACAGACACAAACACACATATAATTAATTTAAAAAAATTCTTCTTTGTAGTATTTGTCACTATAAAGGATTTTTATAGCTTGTTCTCTTAGATTCACAAATATATACTAAATAACCATAGCTCAATTACTAGGCTGGCATCTACTGCCTCTAGCGTCCAACTGTCTCATCATTGCTCCTTTTATTCTAGGGTATAGCCTGGGATTCACATTTGTCATGTCCCCATAATCTCTGGCTTTGTTGAGACAGGGTCTCACTCTGTAGCCCAGGTTGGCCTTGAACTCTTGGAATCCCTCCTGTTTCAGCCTCCTGAGTACTAGGATGTCTATCTGTTTTTTAAAAGAAAACAAATGTGGCCCAGGGCATATGACAGCATGGGATGGTGTTTGGGAGGAAGCTGAATCAAATCAGTGCCTTTGGTTAGTTAGTTATTTCTGCTTAAACCAGGTCAGCTCTGAGCTTGCAGGATTTGGTAGAGCGTATCGTAAGGGAAGCTGTGTGCTTTACACATTGCATTGCATTGGTGATAGGAGAGACCTAGGTATACCTTACTTTTTTGTTGTTTTGCTCTTTGTGCCACTGGGGATGGAATGCAGGACCTTGGGGATGATATACAGGTGTCCTGCCTCAGACACACCCTCTGTGGTACCATCTCAGTTAGCAGTCACCACTTCCCGCCAGTTTGCATGCCCTTGATCTGAGGTCTGGGGACTTGTCTTAATTGCACTTAATTGCACTTTCCTAATGTGTGAGAGCCTTGGGTTCAGTTACTACCAGCACCAGCACCACCACCTTTGCTTCTGTAAAGGGAAAAGATAAGCTATATGATGCTTTTGTGACGGGAATAGTCTCAGCAAGCCCTGGCCAATCTGTGTGAGTCCATAGCAGCTGCAGGGAATTGAAATCTTTCTGACTGTAGTACCAGAGTTTCAGGGTGGAAGTCAGGGCTGTGAAGTGTTCATAGCAGTGGGGACCTAAACACACCCCAAGTCTTCTGGGAGACATTCCAGGGGATCTGTGAGATTGAACCCCCAAGGTTCTGTGGCTCCCAAATTGAGCTTGCTGATGGCTGATCCCTCTTTTTCTTTAAGTTTACAAATACTATCCTCTTAAACACTGTAAAAATGGGTGTTTCCTTTCTTCTTAGTGGGAATTACCCAGTAGCTTTAGGAGCAGGTGGGATTAAAATCATATTCTGTATTTTTTGTAGTATTTTAGGTAATGGCATTTATAGTATACAATTTGTATATTTATAGTATACAAGTAGAAAACTTGGTTTAACATTTATTTGTCAGAATCATGGGAAACTGATGCTCTATCTTTTTTCTCACCCCCAGAGAGTGCCTTTCTATTCTGCACGTAATTCAGAAAAACAAACATGAGCAGAACTTCTTCTATGAGTTCGAAGGAGGTGTCAAGCTTGGAACAGGGGCCTTTAATTTGGTAAGGAGACATTTATATGGAAACTAGAACCTTTTGTAGATGAAACAAGTGTCCAGTATCTCTCTTCTGTATTTGAACATCATCCCAAACGTCTACTTGTGTTTGGTTGATGAGCTGCTGGACTGGACTGGACTGGTTTTCTGTGCTGTGAATGTTACAAAGTTCTGCACATGCTCAGAGTAGCTTTAGACTGCACAGGGCAAGGGAAGCATGTAGGGCCCTGATTGGACCAGTAAGGCTTTTAGTAATGAGGAGCCTAGAATTTAGTTGTTTCTGCATTGAAGATGAGATGTTTTTGTTGTGATAATGATGGCTCTGGAGTTGAAGATGGGGTGGGGGGGGGTGATGTAACTTATGGAACAATTATTATGATCTCTGGGGAGATGCAGAGTCTGAGTAAGGCTGTCAGAATACAATGTGTTATTTAGAGAGTAGGAAATTTTATAAGATTTAACTGTTTATAAGATGAGGTAGTGAAAAGAGTAATGTTTAGAAGCTTATCGACCCCAGGGTTATGTCCATGAACCCATGTTCATTGGTCAATGTTGGGGCAGGCCGACTTTTCTCTGAAGATTGCCCATTCTGTTGGCTTGGCTGTTAACCTGGGACACAGTGTCTCCCATTCAGAGGATATATCCAAAACCTCTTCCTTCCTCCCAAGCCCCTGGCCATCTAACCCCAACCCATTGGCTACAGCCATGAATTGGTATGTCATTCCATATATGGCTATTTGTAGGAGACTGTCCCTTCTCCTCTGTCTTTCAGGGACATCCCAGGAAGGGGCTGAGCTATTGTGGCTGCCCACTTCTGTTAGTGATGAGCCATCACCCACATTACCTTAGGTTTGTACTTTCCAGAACAAGCTGAAGGAAACCTCTCATAAACCAGGGTTGGTGGGTGGCTCACACTGTAATCCAGCACTTGGGAGGCAGGAGGTCACTGCAAGTTAAAATCCAGCTTAAGCTACAGATGAGACCCTATTTCAACAAAACAAAGCAGAATGGAAAAAAGCAGAAAGAAGCCCCACCCATTACTTTCATGTCATTTCATTTCACACGAGAAGAGCCAAGCCAGTGCTTAGAGGATCATGGAAGCCAGGCTTTATTGTCCCCTCCCGAGTCACAGCCAGTTTAGACTTGGTTTGGTTTATGGGAGCTTTTGAACTTGTAACCAGTTTAGGGTTAACCATTGTGTTGTCTACAGTGTTAAAGTTTCCAACGCCTAAGTACACCCATGCTTCTATTTTTTTCTTGCAGATGCTGTCTCTTTTACCAGCAAGAATTATCAGATTGCTAGAGTTTATTGGATTTTCTGGAAACAGGGTACAAACAGCATTTTGTCTTAATTTTGACAGAAGTTTCTGCCTTTCTCTGTTGTAGAGTTCTTCCCCAGCAGCTTTTCAAATGATGTTCTCTCAAGAGTGCCTCGTTTCATAGGTTTGAGATGAATGCCATCTCTTCCACACAGTGCTCCCTCAGACTTGCCAATGAGGCACAAGTGTTTCTAACGTCCAGAGTCATTTGTTCCCAAGGTACTCACTCTGTTCCCACGAAATAGTGAGTTCCTATCCCACCTTCCCTACTGGGTGGCAGGCCTCTGCAGGCCTGCGTTCTTGCCCATCACAGTGCCTTGAGCTTGGACCTCAGTTTAGATTTCTGTGGTGCTGGGGGTGAAACCCAGGCCTGGCTTCACACATGATTGGGTACATGCTCTACCATTGAGACAAGTTCCTACCAACTCAAAATCAATAATTTTATCAAAGAAATGCAGTATTGCTTGGAAATGAGCAGTTTCTTCCTCTCTCTAAAGTCACATGATAGATAGGGATTAGTTTGATCTTCGTTGCTGTGATGACACATTCTGAACAAATAGAGTGTAGGGGAGGGGAAGGTTTATTTCCCCTTACACTTCCAGGCTGCAGTCCACTGCTGAGTGAAGTCAGGGCAGGAACTGAAGGCAGGGATCTGGAGGAAGGAACTGTGAGCAGTCTGTTTGCTGACTTGCCGTATTGCTTGCTCCTGCTCCTGCTTAGCCAGCTTTCCTATACAGCCCTGCACTACCTGCCTAGGGGTTGTGCTGCTCACAGTGGGCGGTCTTCCCCAACAGACGTGCTTACAGACCAGCCTGAGCCTGGCAATTCCTCGGTATAAGCTTTCCAATCAGGTGACTCTAGGCCGTGTTACATGGACAAATAAAGCCAACTAGGGCAGTTTAAAAGGATTTACCAGATTGTCTTCTGCCAGTTTAAAATGGGAAGTTTGTTTCTGTTTAATTAGTACCATTATTCCAAACTGGTCAAAAAAATAAATGGGAAAGTTTCTAAATGTGCTTTTCTTAAAGTCAGACTTTTCTCTTTCTGTGACGCAATTCTTCTCCGCAGGACCTGGGCCTTCTGCAGCTACGGGAGGGTGCGTCCGGAAGCAGCATGCGGTCCCCACTCTGCTGTCTTACCATCCTGGCTTTTCATACCTATATCTCTCTGATTCTCGGTAAGAGCTGGCAGTCTCCAGCCTGGGCTTTCAGTATTTTTTGAGTTGGCATATAGTGAGATTTGTTACAGTGATCTTTGGTAGAGACACACTTGACTGGTTGCTTTCAATGAACATTTTTTAAACATTACTTATTTATGCATTATATATACATACACATACATACATACATACATGAATGTTTTGTCTGCATATATGTCTGTGTACCACGTGCATGCCTGGAACCCACAGAGGCCAGAAGATGCCATTGGATCCCCTGGTACTGGAGTTACAGATGACTGTGAGCTGTGCTAAGAATTGAAGCTGGTTTCTCTGAAAAAAGCAGCCAACACTCTTAACCACTGAGCCATCTCTCTAATACCTCACTGAGCATTTTAAAACCTATTCTCAGATAAGATTTATATATTAGGCTGCTGAATTTTACCACACTCATGTTAATTTTTTGATTTTTTTTTTCATAAAATTTAATTTGGAGGTAAAGTAAGTTAACATTGCCTGAAAAGTAGAAATGTCAAGAGGAATCTGAGATGGCCACCACCGTTCTTAAGAATTTGTCTGCCCTAGAGTTCTGTAAGTCATAAACTTTTCAGATGAAAACAAAGACAAAATAAACACTTGGATCTTGTCTGTGTTTGTTTTGTTATTAGTGACATCGGGGGAGTTGGTTGTAAATGTGTACCGTGTTTTGTGAGCACTGAGCCGTATCTGTTCACTTTCTAGGCACAGGAGAAGTGAACGTTATGGAAGCAGAGAGCCTCCTTGCACCCTTCCTTCGACAGTTCCCAAATGTATGCTTACTTTTCCGGTGCCTGTCCCAGCCATGACTCATCAGCCGCCATTGTCTGCTGAAGTGTGCTTTTTGCTTTCTCTGCAGGGCTCGCTCATACTGTTCTACCACGCCCGAATCGAGCTGCTGAAAGGCAACGTTGAAAATGTGAGTTATTTCATCAAGGGTTACCCGGGGCCAGTGTCTGTGCGGAAGGGTTGCCTCACACGTCACTCAGCATAAGTACATTTGTCTACATGGACTAGGAAAAAACCAGAAACAGGCAATGTCATTCTGAAAAGCCAAGCTTTTACTTTGTGCATATAGATGGTCACATTTAGTAACTTACATCAGTGTGTGTTTATACATAAAGTACATGGGATAGTTCATGGTAGAACTATGAAATATAATACATGGCCAATCTAAGGGGTTCCAGAAAACTTTGACTATTGTCTGTTTGTGTGTTGACATTGGAACTTACCTTTTGCCTATGAGGCAACTGCCCTGGTTCCTCATCAGAGGAACGAGTTGATTCATTCCCTTGAAGTAGAAGAGTGTGGGTGCATATATGATACCCTTCCTCACAGATAGGAGCAAACCTTTTTTTCCTATTTATATAAAACCCTAGTTCTTCCTCCAGGCCAGAATATGTAAGTCTCCCTCTGTTCATTTTGATGGCTGTATTTCCTTTCATGAGATGGATATTTAAATGCACTACATGAGATGGATATTTAAATGCACTACAGTGGCTACTAATGATTGGCCACTAAACCATCACCATGTGTACATTTCTGTGCATAGATACATCGGTGTCAAATTCTGGGTCAGATGGTGCTTGTGTTTATGTCATCCAGGCAAACTGCCTTTCTTACCTAAAGAAATGAGAAACTGAGACTGGAGAGATGCCTCAGTGGTTAAGAGCACCTGCTGTTCGTTCCGTTCCCAGCCCCCACACCAGGTGGCTCGCACCTGCCTATAACTCTGGCTCCAAGGGATCCGATGCCCTCCTCTGGCCTCCGTAGACACTAGGCATGCATGTGGTGCAGTATGTGTACAGTCACTCACATTTTAAAAATAATACATTTTAAAACATGGGACTCTGTATTTCTAGTGCTCTCTGTCAACTCTGTGTGTCCCTGTGTTTTGATTTTTTTGCCCATATGATAAGTGTAAAAAAAAAAAAGAATTGAATTTTTAACTTAACTTTGTTATTACTTTTATTATTTGTTGTGCTTGTCAAATCTAGGGTCTAGTGCATGTTGGGCAAATGCTTTGCCACCAAGCTACATTCCTACCCCAGAGTTTCAAATCCAATTAACCAGTTTGTCAGTTTGTTGCATGTTTATTGATTATTTATTCTTCCCTCTGATTTGTCTGATTACATCTTTACCAACTTTTCTGTTAAGGGCTCAGCTGACCTTTTGCTGAATTGTGACCTGCAGTGCCCTCTCTTTGCCCACCCAGGGCCTAGAATTTTGTTTAAAGTGTGTTTTGTCCAAAGAGGTTCTTACACTGTTATAGTCTGTGTTTTATGAAAGAATTTTGACATTTCTCTCTCACTTGGAAAGGGGCTTTCCTACTCCTATGTTATAAAGTACAAGGTCCCCCCCACAAAGTGCAGTAACACAGCAGAATCTAACTGTATCACCGCACATAAGGAAGGGAGTGTATTGTCATATTGAGTGGCTTAATGAGTGATGTTTTGTTCTTTCTGTACAAAGTGTTTTATGTATTTTATGTTAGGTTATTATCTCCTTGTCTAATATCTGCATGATCAGGTTTATGCAATTTTTATAGGCTCAAGAAACGTTTCGAAAATGCATTTCAGTTCAAGAAGAGTGGAAACAGTTTCACCATCTCTGTTACTGGGAATTAATGTGGATTTGTATATACCAACAAAATTGGATGCAGGCGTATTATTATTCAGACCTACTTTGCAAAGAGAGTAAATGGTCCAAGGTAAAGTGTCCTACCTTTGTCGGAGTCTTCTGTTAGCTACATGGCCACAGTGCTTTGTCATTTAAGACTGATTTTTCAAGAACATGGCATGGACACTTTTCTCTATTTAGAGACTGTAGGAGGAGGGAGTGGGCAGTGGATAGCTAGTGCACAATCACAGGTGGTGTCCTCAGCACTCCCAGCTTAAGAAATCCCCCGGAGTGCTCTGCAACCAAGGCATTTTACCGCCTGGGTAGACTGCAGGTAGGCTGTCAGTCTTTTTTATCACTGTTGTACTCTTGGTGGTTTTGTAGGCTTTTAGTACCCTGTGGCCAAGTTTTTGGTGATAATTAGAGTTAATTCTGAGCCCCTTTTGAGAAGCCGGGAGGGAGGAAGAGATCATGGTCTTCTGTTCTGTCCACTTTCCCACCTGTGATGGCGTGGTCCTGTCATTTTTGTTTTTGGTCTTTTGAGACAGAATTTCACTTTGGAGCCAAGGCTAGCCTGGAGCTCGCTATGAATCCCAGGTTGACCTAGAACTTGTGGCAACCTCCTGCCTATGCTTCCCCAGTGCTGGGGTTGTAGACATGTCACCGGACCCAGCTTTATTAGCACATTTTAGCATTTCAGTTAGGGCAGAGAGCTGAAGCCTGTGTTTTTTTTTTTTTTAAATTTAAAATTTTCACTTATACAATGTACTTTTATCATGTGCCCCCTCCCTCAATTCCTCCCAGATCCTCCGTATCCACCCAACTTTATGTTCTCTCCCTTTCCTTAAAAAATAAATAAATAAGTAGATCACAAAAATGAAAATCAAAACACACAAAGGATCAATAAACCGAAAGTCACAGAACAAAGCAAAAATCTCCCCACCCCCAAAACAACCAACCAAACAACCAAAAACCAAAAACATGGAGTTTGTTTTATGTTGAGCAGCTACTCCTAGGCATGGGACAGCATCCTGTCCCAGAGTGTGGTCAGTATACCCAGTGTCACTCACTCCATTGTAGAAAAGTGGTTGTCCCTTTCCCAGCAGATCAGTGCACATAGTTTCTTAGTTAGAGATGGGGTCCCATATTTACTCACCCCTCTTAGTGCTGGGGCCCCATTGAAACAGATATGAAACCTTTTAACATGACATCTAGGTCACTTCAGTGTGCAAGGTTAAAATGCCATGTTCTCTAGTAAGCTCATGACTCTGTTTCCTCTAGGCAACCTATGTGTTTTTGAAAGCTGCCATTTTGAGCATGCTTCCAGAGGAGGATGTGGCAACCACTAATGAGAATGTGGTGGCTCTGTTCAGGTAAGCACGACACTGTTTCTGTCACAGGGGCTCTGGGGGTGTTAGACACATAGGGCTTTTCCCCTTTACACCCCACTTCCATAGGTTTTAATTCCTCTGCTCAGCGGTATGGACACACTCAGAATAAATAATACATTTAGCTGAAGGCCAGCATGTCATTCCTTAGCATGATTTTCAGATGTGTGTGCAAGTCAGGGAATCATGAAAACATACCGCTGTGTTTGTTTCCTAGAATTAGGGTTTAATCACAGGGCTGTGCACCTGCTCTTTCATACTGGGGCTCTTGTCCTCCCCGTTTGATTCTTTCAGTGATGTAATCGGATATCTTCTGGAATCCTTTCCCTTTATGCATTCATAAAGTGATGCATAAGAAAGAGACCCCACAAACAATGTAGTCTTTCCCCATGAACGTTTAGTCTCTCTTCATCTTAGTTTCATTTTCATGTACTTAGATTTTGTGTGTGGGACTGTGTGTGTATGTATGCATCATGTGTAGGAGTGCGTGTGCACACCCAGACGTGTGCAGAGGACAGAGGACATTAGGAATTCCACTTGCTTAGGGGTGTGTGTGTGTGTGTGTGTGTATGTGTGTGTGTGTGTGTGTGTGTGTGTATGCGCGCGCGTGTGCGCATGTGCGTGCACCCAGACATGTAGGAATTCCACTCTACCACTCTCTGCCTTAATCCTTCTAGACAGGGTCTCACCAAATCTGGAGCCAAGCTGCTGGCCAGCAAATCCCAGTGCCCCTCCTGTCTCCTGTCTCTGCCTTCCCATTTCACAGGCAGGAGCATGAACCGACCTGGGGTTTGGGGATTTGAACTCAATTCTTCATGCTTGCCCAGCCAGCACTCTTACTGAGTCATCTCCCAGTCCAAATTCCTTAGAATTTGAAAATGCTAAATCCTAAAATGATTATTTACAAAGTTACTTATGTTATGCTAGCTTTTTCAAATCTGCATAGATGAATGACTGTCTTCTGATACACATTATATTGTATATCTGTGTAATATCTGCAGAGAGGAACAGGAAATGTACCAATTTTCATGCTTCCCTTCTCTTTTCTACTCATCTATGGAAATTGACAATCTTACACCTATACTGGACTGTGTTTGGCAACCGTAAGACACTAGCTAAGCTGACTGGAAGGAAATATGTGAATTAGTGTCTCTTACGGAATTGTGCATCCATATTGCTTGAATGTACATCCTAATCGAGATTGCTGGTCCCAGCCCCAGAACTGCCGATTCAGGTTTGGGGTAGCAGGTTCCTGGTTGCTACTGGCCTAGGATATAGATATGAAAACCTCAGTTGTGAATAATATGTATGTTCACTGGTCTTTTCATGTGATCTTTACAGACAGGTAGATGGCTTGAAGCAGAGGATCGCTGGGAAATCTCTCCCAACTGAGAAGTTCGCTGTGAGGAAGGCACGTCGGTACTCACCCTCCTCAGGTGCCCCAGGGAAGCTTGTCTTGCCAGCCCTGGTATTTACTTTTATTCATTGTTTACATACTAGAGATAAATTCACTATTGAGAGCATCAAGGAATGTATTTCCCTTTGGTTGTGAAGCTTATAACTCAGTTAAGCATGATTGTATAGTTTTATATTTATATATATACATAAATTACTTTTAAAAACATTGAACATTTAACCCGAGGCTTTTTGATTAGTTAGTATTTTCTAGACATTGTGATAAAGGCAAATTAAAAAAAAAATGTGTCATTTGATTTTTATCATAAAAGCAAGTACAGTCTCAGTTCCATATTTCAGATGAGGAAGTCTGAGCCTAAAGGGGGAAGATGACTTCACTAAAGTGGAATTTAATTACAAAACAAACCACAAATTCAGTTTTACGTTTTCTAATAGCTATGTAAAAAAGTAAAAGGAAACCTTTAAAGAATAATTTTTCAAGAATATAGTTTGTTTAATCTGGGCGTGGTGGCTCATATCTGTCATCCTAGCACTTGGGCAGCTGAGGCCAGAGAATTGCTGCAAATTTGAGGCCCAGCTTGGTCTATAAAATGAGACCCTGTCTGAGAAAACCAGCTACCTTCCCCACCCTTAAAATATACCTAACCCATGTAAGCAAAACTTTGCCAATTTGATGTGGAATTGTAAACAAGGGAAACTCACCCCTGAGCTGTGCCACGCCCTTTTGCATTGCAGCCTTTTGTAGATGGCTTCCCCAGCAGAGAGGAACCCCTTTTGGACTAGCATGTTCTACTGTGGAAGGGCTCTGGGCTACTGGCTGCTCCGGTCCTGCTTGACCTCACCCTCCTAATCAGCTCACTGCTTTGGCGAAGCCTCTGTGAAAACACAATTTGACCTGAATTTTTAAAACAAAGCCTTCTTTTGAGAGTGCTGGATATGCTACACCGCTATGACTCTCTAGCTATGGCATGGGAAAGTGTTCAATGCACCCCAGTGTCACAGTCCTCCTCTGTGGTTGGTTCTGTGAGCCTTCTGTAACTTGGGGGATTATTTAATCATTTTCCACTTAGAAGTTATGCAGCATTTCCCAGGTTTTTTTTTTTTTTTTTTTTTTTTTTTTTTTTTTACTGTTATAGACATGCTATAATGAACATCATTTGTATGCACATGTAGTTCTCTGGGGATGTTTTCAAAGAAGTGGAATTCTTAGTTGAAGTGTGTGTGTTAATGTTTGGGTAGATAACATTAAATTTCTCACGCACCCCCTCAATACTGTATCAAATGGCTGATAATTCTTCCTTCTTTTAATTTGCATTTCTGTGCTAACACTTCTGAGTGTCTTCATGTGCTCAGTTGTTCATATCCTTCTTCAGTTTTATTGGATTATTTTTATTTTGTAGCTCACTCTTGGAAGGATTTTTTTGTGTATTTTAAGTGGAATAAGAATATAGCCCCTGACAAGGGTCAGATAGGAGCTGGCCTACAGCTAGCACCTAGACCCAGGTGTTTTCCCACAGGACATCAGAGTAGACTGATGTGGTGAGATAGAAATGTGATGGGCCTGTAATTGTGTCCTGAGCACAGACAATAACAAGAGCACTGTTCTAAACACAGAGACCACACACCCTCTCCCAGTTGGTGCCTGTTTTGTTGCCTTAATTAGCTTTAGCCCTGTTCCACATTCATTGATATCAAGTGGTTTGCATTGGGAAGGTTCTGTGTCAAGGAACTTTCCGGAAATGTTACTGGACCATTATGTTTTTTTGTGTGTATTAGTGCTTAGACACTGATGTGGTATAAGGCTCTGTAATGCTTTGAACCCCTGAAGGTTGATGGGTATGCAGAGATGAAGAATTGACTAGACTCGGCCATGTCTTGCCTAAGGATGTTGGCACAGCCTGTTTTCCCTAAAAATTTCAACCAAGTTTGCCTCTCCCTTTGGTAAACACTACATCCATTAAAACATTTAAATTATCAGTTTAAAAATATCATTACTGAATTGTGCTCCTAGCTTCCAGTGCCATAAAGCAAACCTGATATCATTATGGGCTGCCTCATTCCCATGGCCTCTCTGGCTAAAAGGATTCTCAAACAATTATCTGTCGTATTTTAAAATTCATGCTCATCATATACCCTTCAAAAATATGAACTGTACTATCTGGACATTAGAAAAATATTTTCAAGCAAAAACACATTTGCTTTTGATCCAAAAAAAATTCTCATCTGTTAGTCCATTAAATATAATCTGCAACGAGAAGTCATTAGTTTACATTTCAGGAGCTGTCATTCAGCCATATGGCCTTTAAACAAACGTGTTTTCTGCATATTGGATCGTATTACTGGGCAGACACATGTTTTTAATGATATAAAAGAACCTGAGCCCAGTAAAATAAATATTCCAATGATCATTTCTAGTGATATGCTTGGAAACACTTTATGTAAACAACTAGCAGACATTTTAAAATATTTCCCTTTACTTAAAAGTAACAACAAAAGTTTACATTAAACAAAATTGTTCATAGTGTCAGTTTAAAGTATTATTTTACTTCTGTATAATCTATCCAAAGAATTGTATGCTAGTAGATAGTTAATGTCTATTTGTTGAATGAATTGATGATTTTAATAAGAGTATAAGATATATGCTTACTTACCTCAGAGCATGGAAGACAACAGACATATAGTAAACCCAGGGAAATTATGTCACTAAATTCCAAAATGAAGAAAGGTCGGAACAAGATCCTGACTGTCATGTTGAGGTCTTAGCAGACACTTCACATATGGTTTTCTCTCCTGTCTCCTTAGGAAATGATGTATGTCTGGAATGGCTTTTCAATAGTGGCCAAAAGGAAGGACCTTTCTGAAAACCTCTTGGTGACTGTGGAGAAGGCTGAGGCAGCTTTGCAAAAAAATCAGAGTAAGTGTGTAGACCCTGTCTTGACTCCATTTCCTCCCTGGTCTCTCCCCGGTGCATGTCTGCCCGTGTTGCTCTATGTGCATCTCAAGAGCAAGGTGTGAGCTTCTGGTGTCTGGGTGGTTGTCATAAAGATAAAGGGAGAATGGCGCCTCTTGATTCACCAGTGAATGGTGTCTGCCACAAAAGACCATGTGGGATGTGATTCCACTTTTATGGCATAGCCATTGTGGGCCGATTTACAGATGGATCAGTTAGCATTGTTTTTAAGGAACTGCTTTTCTTAATCTTTTTCTGCTGCTATAACAGAGTACTGTAGGTTGGGTAACTTATGAAGAAAAAGAAGTGTGTTTTCCACAGGTCTGAAGACTAGGGGGTACAGGATCAGTGTGTGCATGTGGTACACATGACATGCAGGCAAAATCCTCACACATATAAAATAAAAACCAGTACTCTTTTTGTTTGTTTGTTTGTTTTGTTTTGTCTTTCAAGATAGGGTTTCTCTATATTGCTTTGGAGTCTGTCCTGGAGCTCACTCTGTAGACCAGGCTAGCCTCGAACTCACAGAGTTCCACCTGCCTCTGCCTCCCAAGTGCTGGAATTGAAGGCATGTGCCACCGACGCCAGGCTAAAACCAGTACTTTTTAAAATGAGATTTCATGAGATGGACTTCTGCAAAAATTCAAAATTTTGAACAAATTTAGTAGCTCTTGTTGTCATTCATTGAATTTAATTAAAGATAACTCTTGCCTTTATGGGGATTGTCTTGTTTAAAGACCAAATATTTATAAATTAAGTGGATGAATGAATGCTTATGTGAGAACAGTTGTAGGATGCCTGCCCCCAGAGGAATAACCAGCTTTCTTCCTCTGTATCCTTCCACCTCCCTCTGCACAGGTGGGTTGGACTCAGTAGGATAAACTTCCATGCATGTCTGTGATGTTCTTCTGTACCTCTCCAGCTCCCAAGAATGGAGCCTCTGTCAGTCAAGGGTCCTGAGTTTGCAAATGGCCATTGGGATTTTCGCTGAACAGACTCTTTACCCTCAGATACTCACCCTCTATTGATTGGAGAGAAACAATTAAAGGAGAAGTGTTTGCATCATATGCTCATACATGCAAAGTGGTTAGAAACCAAAATCACTGCCTTTCGGGTTTCTGTTTCTATGGCATCTTCAGATCAGAGGCTTGTGCGAGACACAGCACACATCCAGGCTTGCTGGCAGTCCTGCCCTGTGATTTTCCTCTGTGTAAAAGAATTGGTTTATTGTCAGGGTCACCTTCACCTTACTGTGAATTCAGGTTATACTTGTTTTATGTAGGAATGTTATCTTCCCCGCCCCATAACTCCCGACTCTTAGTAATTAAGTATTTGTTCTTCGGAGTGTGAGGTGGGGAATCTGTGATTGGAAAATTGAGAGAAGTTCTAAGTCTGAGCTTGTGGGGGCTTCTACCCCTCTACCTCCGGCCCATTATTAGATACCATATCAGATGTTTTGGTTTTTGATTTGTCAGTTATGGTTAAAGAGCGGAGGGTAGAGGGTGCTATTGGCCTATTTATAGTGCCTGGCCATAGTAAGTAAAGGTTGGTCATCCACACAAAGGGCACAGCCTAGACGCAGGAGCACTTGGTGGCATGCTTAGCGTTGGCATGTGGTGGTAACTTCTATACTGTTTTCCTTGGAAGACTAACCAAATTCATCACGTAGCCAGAAGTTGGCAGTGGATCCGCTTTGTCTATCATTGCAGTACATTTGTATGGTGACATTTATATAGCAAATAGAATTGGTTACATAAAGGCAGGCAGGCAGGACTGCCTGGCGGCTTTTCATTTTTCAGTCTGCTTTCACGTGTTCCTCTTGGTGCCCTGCAGTGAGTTTCTGCAATGCTCAGCGGAGATGTTTTGTAATTTTCAAACTTCCTTCTTTCTTAGCCTGCCCTCATTTAGGATATTCAGCATCCCTGCTGTGCTGCACGAGCGTGGACATCTTTGCTGTGATAAAAGAACAAAACAAAACAAACAAAACAAAAGCTTGTCAAACATGATTTGTTTCCTCCGTGTGTGGAGATCAGAGGACATTTTGTGGACACTGGTTCTCTCCTTCCACCATGGGGGCTCTTGGGCTCTAGCTCAGGGGGTCAGGCTTACCGCAAGCGCCTTCACCCACAGCCCACCTCATCAGTCTAGCTACAGTGATTCCCCCTCAGCCCCCCACACCCCCTCATGGAAACTGTTCACCTCTTCCTCTTTCATGGGAGTGCAAGTCGTGACAGTGTGTGCTGTGGTCAGAGGAAACCGTGGCTTTGCTTCTGAGGTTTGTGGGAGATGTGGGATACAAACTCCTCTGTCACACCGCTGACTTAAGATCTCCACAGAGTGACTTTCCTAGGTTTTCAATAGTAGTTGTCTGTGCCACCTCAAAAATCATCATTCACTGAGCAAGCACATGTTGTCACAACGCAAACCATTAGAGAGCCGCTTCTCAGAATCCAACAGAATGTAGACAAGTGGGACAGGAAAGTAGTGACCAGTGTGGACCTGGCGTTGGGCTTGGGCCTGACTGGCTTGCTTCTCAGTGGACATCTCTGATAGAAGCATGGATTATGTGTGGGAGGGTGTGAGGTGGTGCCGAGTCAGTAGTAGGAAAGGTCAGAGGTGTTGGTGTCTGTGGTTTTCCTAGAGGTGGCCCGTGACATATCAGCACTGGACAGGTAGAAGTGAGTCTCATGCATTTAAACACGTAGAAGTGAAGTGAGCCGCGCGAGTAGCACTGTTAACCTCCCATAGGTGAGGGTTTGCCAACCGAAACACCAGCATGTGTCTCCGATGAGGTCTGAGGCTTGAACCCAAAGCATGAGACTTGCAATATGGAAACTTCCAGGGTCTAGTCATTTCCCTTTACCACCCCTCCACACTGTTGTCACAGCCTGAAACGTGTAAATTAGCAGTCTGTCTTGGAATGACTTCTTTGCCTGTCACTTTCGAAAGAAAAAAAAAAAAAAAAAAAAAGCAGAAAAACCTTCAGGATCGGAACACGTGGTATGGCTACCTTTGACAGATAGCCACTACACCATGTGGTTCACTCTGTTTAATACATACCCAGACTGAGCTGGAGAGGCAGGGGCCGGAGCAGGGAAAGGACATCCTGAACAGTCTCCTGGAACATGGAAGTTTGTGTCGACTTTAGGTGCCTTTTCTGTATTTCAGAACCATGGCATAATTTTCCCCCAAAAGAACATAACCTGGGAGAATTGATAGGTTGTAAACATAATGATCTGGAAGAGAGGTTTGTGCTTCCTGCATTTTGAGCGGGTGGGAGGCCATCTGCTTCTCCATATGGAAGTGCTATCCCTCCTCTGTGCGGACGCCAGCGTGGTTAGAAGCCAAAACAACAGGAGGAGACAGCCCGGTTCCTCCTCTTTACCTCCGAGAGAATTAATGAAGCTCATTCTTTATTTAGAGTTCAGATTTCCTGTTGTAGCTAAGGTCGCAGAATTCACTGTGACCTCCTGAAAACTCTGCCTGTGATGTCTCCCTTAATGAACGGTGTAGAATGAGTAAGTTCAGTATTCCTCTGAGTGTTTTTATTTACATAGTAGGTTAGTAAACTTGTTTTTAAATGGTCCCCCTAAAATCCAAAAGCGGTTAGTTTTCCTCTCAGTTAGGGTTTTTGCAAAGTACTTTTGCGCTGGCCTGGCAGCTCAGTGCTTGCCTCGCAAGGATGAGGTGCTAGCACTCATCCCAGGCACCACAAAAGACAATGAAATTTCCCTTCTTGTTGGCTTCTTGTTTTAAGACTTTGCTGACTCTGTGGATGATGAGTGCTTGGTAAAATTACTGAAAGGATGCTGCCTCAAGAATTTACAGCGGCCCTTGCAAGCTGAGCTGTGTTTCAACCACATTATGGAAAGGTAAGAGCCGGCCTGGATACAAGTTGTGGCTTCAGGGTAATCTCTGGGACAGAGTGATGTGCCAAGCCTGTATCACGAACAAAGCTACAGTCTGCATGGGCAATAGCTTTATGTTTATCCACTCAGTGTTTAAGGATGGCCCATTTCTTGTATGTGCGGTGATCCTCTTTGATAGCAATGACGGTGCTGCCCTGGTGTGAATTGGAGCCAGGGTGAATGGCTGTGGATGAACTGGTAGCCACTGTGTTCTCCCCAAGGGCTGTAACTGTTCACTGTGCACAACGTGGGCCCAGTAACAGGGGTCCCTATGATTGTCATAAAGAAGCCGGAAGCTGCATCTAATGTCAGATCTCCTGATTTTTAAACACACATTGGCTCAGTGTTTTTGAAAACACTGCAAGCCATAAAGATGGAGGCCATACAATGTCCTTCCTCACAACAGTACTTACGAGAATATAGGGCACAGTATCTACTTCCCAAATAAGGCAGGTCCCTGTATTTGGTGAACATATTAAAGAACTATATGTGCAGTTGTAATTTATTGATGTTTTCATTAGGCTCAAGGGCCGGTGGGTGATAGCAGTGGCCCTGTGTGCTGCTTGCTTTGTTTTATTGACTCACAGTGCTTCAGGATTTGTGTTCTGACATCACCCTCTGTGGAAGAGTTTTCCTACACCGCTTGCTTAGAGGCCATCGTCATGTTGATGTCATGTTGAACAGCTTTTGGATCTCTTAAGCAATGTAAATTTGAGTTGCAAATTTCTGGGAGGGCTGGCCTATTTGTTGTTCAGTTTCAAAGAGATGTGTTTTGTTTTTTTGTTCATGTCAAAAGTGCAGGCAAAAGGAGGCCATCATCTGGGCTTGTTCCTTGCCAGCGAGTGGGTTTCTTTTAATCTGCGTTCTCCAAAGCACAGACTCTGCATTCCAGGCTTAAGGTGTCAGCTCCAGCCACCTGCTTTCTGTGTCTAGGGCCTCATTGCCTGCGTGACCACTGAGACTCAAAGTCTCAGGTCTCTCCGCAGACCCCAGGGCTCGCCAGCACAGCCAGTCTTGCTCTTGCTTCTTCTTGGCATCTGAGAGTAGTTTGGGTGATAGCCTGGTAAACCGAGCTATGGATGATTGTCATTATGTTTCATTTATTTTAACTTTATTTAAAAGGTTACAAATTTATTTACATTACAAATTTATTTTTAAAGTAAGAAATAAAAATAAGAATCACACAGTAAAGTTAACCTGGCACAAAAACTATACAAATCAGTGAACAGTCAAGAGCACCCATTCAAAATAGAAGCCATGGGGTTTTACATTGGATTTTATGCTTTTAATAACCAATATATTTTTATGTGCTTATCCAACACCAAAAACAAAAACTCCATTGCAGTTAGAGCTGGAGACACAATTCATTCTAGATTCAAAAGGCTGTTTGTTACTCAGGCTTTTCCCTGAACTTATAGATTTCATAACGGTGCTGAAACCAGACCGCCAGCCATGTAGCCATTGCCCGTTTGAAGAATTCTAAGATGATGTTTGAAGGAAATTGATGCTTTGTTAAACACAAAACTAATGAGACTTCCTCATTACCAAATTTAGAGTTGCATGCTCATGAAGGTGATCTTGTCCTCTCTGGTTCATCTTGAAGGTCTCTGTGTATAGATCTGCCTGAGAGACAGTGCCATATCGCTGCTGGCCATACTTTAAGGAACAAAAGATTTAGTGTATGGAAGTGTACTCCATTCCAGAGGTTAAGGACCATATCTGTGGGACAGAAGCCTTCCTCTTAATGTTGTCTGGGAAATGAAGAATGATACTTGTTATAAATGATACTTCTTGAATTTTGTTAAGACTTAACTGATTTTCATTTGTCTTTTTAGTGAAAAGCTACTGAAGTATGACCACTATCTGGTGCCATTCACTCTGTTTGAGTTGGCATTTTTGTTTAAAAGCCAAGGGGAAATTGACAAAGCCATAAAGGCCCTAGAAACTGCAAGGTGAGTATTGAACCTGATTTGTCCTAGTGACGTGGAGTGAGAGACATCAGTGCCAGTTCAACACCAGCAGTGACATGGTACTCCATAAAGCTGATGAGCTAATGCCAGCTAATGTGACTGCTTTTGCTAACTTGGGTTTATTTTTGTGTGTGGGCTTTTGCTGTAGTTGTGCTGTTTCAAGACTCTCAGTCCATCGCTGTATGGCTACCTAGAGATGTTATGTGTGCACCTAGCTGGCCAGCTTCGGCTTACTGTCTTGTGTAGTAGGAGTCAGCAACCGTTTTCTGCAAATGGCCAAGTAGTAGGTATTTTGGTCTCTGAGTATTGGATTTAGAGTGTAAGGTGCCCATTGACTGCACTTAAATACATTGTAAGTAACTGTAGTGTAGAAGATAAGTGAACAGTGGGGTGTGTTCAGAGCTGGTCTTTGGGTCATAATTTCCTGTCCCCAAAAAATACTGTCACATAAGTCATATCTACCATTTCCTTCATGAACCTCTGATCATGTGAAACTCTTTCCTGCATTCACTTCTTTCTTCTATGGAAGCTCCAAGCATCTCTGCTCATTTCTGCTAGATAGTGGCCCACACTTGTGATCATGGCCTGCTTTCAGCAGTGCAAAACCCTGTGGTCTGTTTGTCTGGAGCACATGGGGCAGTAGAAAAAGAATGTCATAAAAACTCTAGGTCAGTGAGTAGCTCACACTTGTAATTCCTACTGTAATTCCACACAACATCGCTGTAAGTATGAGGCCAGCTTGTGCTATAAAGTGAGACCTTGTGTCAACAAACAAACAAACAAACAGTAAACGAAGCAAAAACTTCTAGGTTATAAATAGCTCAGTAGTCACTGGTTTATTTCTTCAGATTCACTGAATGTCTGTCATATGCCAGATACAATGAAGGCCATGGAAAGGCGGCTGCAAACTGATCAGGGAATGCTCGGCAGGGTTAGCTGGAGGGAGGTATCAGAGAACGGAGAGTATTATGATGAGATGTAGTATTGTCCTAGGGCACCTGAGATTCTTCGGAGGAGGTGATGATATAGTTGACACCAGCATAAGTAAGGTAGTTTTGAAAAGATGGGTTACCAGAATGGCTGTGTAGGGAACATCATGCACAAGATGTGGCTGTAGTTTGGTCAGTAGGTGGATAGTGATGCTTTTTTTCTGACTGGCAAACACTCAGAGCAACAGGTTTTTGAGAAGAAAGAGACACCTCTCCAGGCTGTAATACTTGGAGGTGGCTGCTAGACATCTACATGGAGATGGTGAGCTAGAGATGAGATATGCAGCTGTATTCAGTGATAAAGTCAAGGCCACATGGATACAAGCTGCAGTCCCCAGCACAGAGAGTGCTGGTCAAAACCATCATTCCTGAGGTGGTTAAGCTACAGAGCCAGAGATGGAGGTCTTGTACAGCGCCTGGAACATTCCAGTTCTAGGATTAAGCTGTAATATTTGAAAACAAAGATCTTAATAAGACTAAATGGAGTTAAGAGGATAACAAGTTGTTGTTTAATTTTTTACGCATGTCAAGGTTTATGTAAGGTTGTTCAAAAGAGGTAAGTGCAACACATGGTTCAGAATATTAAAAACTTGTCCACAAACATGAAGACCTGAGTTCTATTCTCAGAACCTGCTTAAAGGTAGAAGAGAACCAACTCTACAGAGTTGTCCTCTGACCTGATCACAGACTCTGTGGCATGCATAGCCCACCAATACATCATATGCACATCCAATAATGATGATGAAATCGCTGCATTCATACAACTGGTTACCAGCTAAGAAGCACTCATATATGAAAAGCCAAAAATTTGAAAACCATGGGAATGGTTGCTAATGAGTGCATCTGCCAAGAAGGTGTGCAACGTGATACCAAAACTATAGAGGTCATGTATAATCTTGACAGGAAGGTGAGGAGAGGATGGAGTCAGCTTCTATGGTAAGGGTTAGGGATGTTTGCTGTGAATAGAGTATAATGGGGGTGGTGGTGGGGAGCTTAGGGCCATGGAACCACCAGGCTCTTCCTAAAAGAGAAATGGACAGTCTAGGAAGAAGCCACTTTAAGAGGTAACATGTTGGACATGAGGACAGCTGATGTTTCAGCTGTGGTGTCTGTGCATCTTCAGAGGGAACCGTGGGGGTCACTGCACTGTGCATCTTCACAGAGAGTTGTGGGGACACTGCACTGTGCATCTCACAGGGGATTGTGGGGACACTGCACTGTGCATCTCACAGGGGGTTGTGGGGACACTGCACTGTGCATCTTCACAGGGAGTTGGGACACTGCACTGTGAGCACTGCTGCTTCAGACATTCACTGATGGAGCATAGTCAGAGCTACTCAGTGCAGATGGAGCAGCAGGAGATGCAGAAAGACAGTTCTTTAGCACTGAAAAGTACTCAAAGCCACCACTAATGCAGGCAGTACCCGTAGAGCAAACACAAACATACTTTCCCATCATTTCAGGACCGTATCTGTCTCCAGTTCCCCTTCATAGCATGGGCTTTTCAGAGTGGACAGAAACTGAGAAAATACTCAATTGTTCTTTGGTGGATCTTAGGAACAGGTTCATTTTAATCTGTGAACAACATCGTACTAACACTCATCAAAGTTACCAAGAAAGTGTGTTTAAATAAATTAAAAAAAAAAAGATAGAAAAACTACTTCAAAGCAGGTGTCGGCTGCCTGTCTGCCAAGGCAGGGTTTGAAACCAGGAGACATAAATTGCAACTGTTCCATCCATTTTGCCAATTCCTAACAATTTTAGCAAGGAGAGGTCAACATCATTGTCTTAGGGTTTCTGTTGCTGTAAAGAGACACCATGACCACAGCACCTCTTATAAAGGAAAACATTTAATTGGGGCTAACTTACAGTTCAGAGGTTTAGTCCATTATCGTCAAGGTAGGAAGCATGGTGAGACACAGGCACACATGGTGCTGGAGAAGTAGGTTGAGAGTTCTACATCCAGGTTTGTGGGCAGCAGGAAAAGAGATACTGGGCCTGGCTTGAGCATTTTGAAACCTCAAACCCCACCCCCAGTGCCACACTTCCTCCAACAAGGCCACACCTCCTAATAGTGCCACTCCCTATGAGCCTTTGGGGCCATTTGCATTTAAACTGCTGTGGTCAAATTTTCAAGTAATTTTTGGATTTTGTGCTCCCTGCTTTTCTATGGTATTGCAGATTGACCTCGGATTCTCTGTGTGCCAGACAGTTTCTCTACCAACATGTTGCACCGCTGACCTGCTTGTGGCCCTTTCTCACAGTGGTGTAATTGTGTCATTAGTGACAAAAGCACTGATTACCTGCATAAGAACTGGAATAAATGGTTTTGGGTCACAGGGTAACCCTGCTGTCTTTGTCAGAGTAGTTTCATGTGAGTTTCAAGGTGCTTTTCTTCTGTTGAGTAATGGGTTGTTGACCATTGTGTTATATGTACCTGACTTAACATTTTCCTTTAAAACTAGAAGCTGAGCCGTTTAGCAATAGTTAACAAAACATGCCATGCCCTCATGACCTTGCTGTAGTTGTGGTTTGATAATTAGAGCGTTGCAATTCAAAGCATGACCTTTTAAGTCACTACCAGGGAAGCTTCTGGAAACCCAGAATCAGAAGGCACAGAGGAGGGGTGGTGGTGCCCTGCTAGACAGAGAAATGCTGACTGTATAATTTTATTCTTCATTGTCTTCAGAAACAACTACAAAGATTACTCCTTGGAATCTAGACTACATTTCAGAATTCAAGCAGCCCTTCATCTTTGGAAAAAGCCATCCTCAGACTGATCGGAATGAATGCACAGGATGGAATTACCACCAGTTAACATGGACTCTTGCTATGGAGATCAGTCCTGGCCAAGGTGGAAACATAAGGGAAACTATTGTCAGGCATTTCCTGTCTCCTGAGTGGCTTACTGTTGGTCTACATATTTTCCCCTATGGAATGGCATTCCATATTGTATAGAAATTCTTATACTCTGCCTTTAAAAAGAATTTCACATTAGATTTCAATTGAGGGGTAGTCTTTTAAAAGACTGACAGGTACAATAAAGTCTAGTTAGATTATTTATTTTTTTAATGTGAAAATTAATATTGTTCAAGTAGAAAATGGCTTTATAAGCTGAGCCGTTTTTTAGATTGGCTTGTCCTTTAAACTTCAGAGATATTTTATTGCTTAGTATTTAGATCTCAGAGTGGAAAATAATATCACATCTAAAGTAATATAGCAGTGGGTTTCTGAAAGTTCTGGAAGAGAGAGGCAGAGGGCCTGAGGGGTGGAGTATTCCTAGGCTGAAGGACCACTTCTGTACGAGATGATGCAGTCGTCAGCTCATGGGTTTCCATCCTCAAGCAGTTGCAATGGTGATGTTTTTCAGAAAGGATCCTGTATTTGAATGTACTCATATCTGGTTCAGTAATAGCATTCAGTATCTATGGGAAGAAAAAGCTGTATTCTAGAACTCTCTAACCTTAGTGCTGAGCCTGAAATATAGACTATGACTGCCTTTCTTATAGGAAGGAAAAGTCCCTGTTGCTTTAAATGACATGTAAAACATCAATCATTTTTACAGTTAGGATGTGGCTGGCCCAGTGCTAATGGTTTTTTTTTTTTTTCTCTTTCCATTTTTTTTTTTCTTTCTGGGCTGTGTTTTAGTTCTCTGAATAGGATACAAAACCAGAGCATGGAGCTGGATGAGCCAGGCTCTGCTGCTGGTGAGCAGATGGCCTTTCTAGAGTTCCCATATCTGTCAATCACTGTGTCTTCTTCATTTGAGAACTAGAAAAGGAACAGGTGACATTAATGGTCTCTTTGAGTTTTAGAACCGTGAATCTCTTGTTTTTTAGGTATTTTCAACAATGTTTAGCATTTAATCTACACTCTTCCCATTTAGAATGTTTTGTAGTATTTTTTTAACCCATACCCTGTCTTCCCAATCCTAATAGTAGGTGTTACAGCTAAGGGCCAGATTCCATCTAGTGAGGAAAACACTTCATGAGTCCATGAATCTGGGTTTTTGTCCTGGTTACCTGTCTAGGTGGTAATGGCTCCACCTTTCCCAGGCAGAGCCCTAGGTTTGTAGTTAGGAGTCCCTGTGTGTTGGTGAATAGTTAACAACACAAAACAAATAACTTAGCCTTTCTAAGACTTGGGTTTTCTGGTGGGAATGGCTTAAGGTAGCACTCCGTGCTCTGAGGTCTCGGTTAGATTGTGCATTTTGTAGCTTTCTGTAACCTGGGGAGGCTGTATACATTTGTGTGAGTCTGATAATTATGGCTCTGTGCATGGATTACAGAACCTATAAAAAAAAAGTATCAGCTGCATCTTCAGTCTCTGCTGTAAAATGAAATGAATGCAGGCATTCAGAAACCTTTCAGTTTATGCATTTAGCAATGACAGTGGCCCAGATTATGGAGTTGTTCCTCTGTCCCTTACTGCAGTTCCCCATGCTCAGCAGGCATTGGAATTGTGTTACTTAAGGTACCATTTGACCAATATTGAGGAAATATTTATTGAAGAAGGTGATTAATACACTTTGAGTGAGAGGACCATCCCTTCAGATAACATGGGAACAGATATCATTATATCACATTACTATGAATTATACAACTAGCTACAGATGGAAGGGGAAATATATTGTCATAATACTATAGAAATATGTTCAATAATTATGTATATATATATAACTTTGAAGGAAAGTTTATAAATTCTTTAGAAGAGCTTTGACAACATTATTTTAAAAACATATATAGTCATATTATTAAAGAATATAACTGGGTGTGGTAGCACATTCCTTTATTTAATCCCAGCACTTGGTAGGCAGGCATAAGTAGCTCTCTGAGTTTGAGGCCAGCCTGGTCTATGTAAGAGTTCCAGGATAGTCAGAGCTATATAGTTAAACCATGTCTCCAAAAAAGAAAAACAAAAAGATTATATACCCATATTTTCTGAGAAACTGTCAGAGCTCATGCTCTATAACAATAAATTCCCATTCTGATCTGGTATAAAATGAGAAAAAATTAAGCTGAAAAATGACCATTTTAGGGGCTAGAGAGATGGCTCAGCAGTTAAGAGCACTTCCTGCTTCTCTAGAGGACCAGAACTTGTTTCCATGCATGTAAGGTGGTTCTCAACTGTGTGTAACTTCAGAAGATCCAACACCCCCTGCTGGCCTCTGTAGGCACCTGAACAAACACGGCATATATTCACACAGAAGAAACACACATATACACATAGGTAGATAATCATTTTTAAATGATGGCGTTTACATTATCAAACAAGTTCACCTATGGCATTTTTTTGTTTTGTTGTTGTCTTGCTTTTATTACTCATATGCTCTTTCGCAGATAGCAGTGTTTACCTGGTGGCTTTATAAATGCTATGCAATAGAATTAATGCCACAGATATTTATCTATTTCCTGTCATGGTCAAGATGCTGTACTGGCACCAGTTTCTTCGGATGTTTGTAAGGGTCATCTTTTAAAATCTGTCTTGTGATTTAGGATGTTTTGTGGAGAGCAAGTGCCCAAGAGACAACATTTTATGTAATTGTCCAGTGTTCTGATTGGTGCTTTGTAAATATAAAGGTTGTGTTTCAGAGCTTTGGTGAGTAGGAAAGCCTACAAGGTTAATAACTACACCAACACCTGCGTATATTTGAACACTTGCTCTTCCTTCATAGAAGATATGTTCCCAAGTTGCAGAGCACACAGTGCCTTTCCATCTGTCCTGAGAACAGGAGAAGACGTGGATAAGCACTACAGGGATATAAATTCTAGATTCCTAGGAGTGAAGGACAATCTGTAGCCTTAGAGCAACCCATTAGTCCAACCAGCTCCTTGGACAGGGGTGAGTTCAGTAGCACTGGGTGACTGTCATTCCTCCCTGGTGTGAGTGCCTGGGTTAACTGAATTGGAGGTCAGGTCATTTTACAATTTTTGTTTGTTTGTTTTTGTTTTTCAAGACAGGGTTTCTCTGTGCTTTGGAGGCTGTCCTGGGACTCGCTCTGTAGACCAGGCAGGCCTCGAACTCACAGAGATCCAGTAGAGCCCCATTCCCTGGGCAATAAGAATACTTTAAAAACAGCCTTTAGGACCAAGTGGAAAAATTAGTTCTGGTATTATTCTGGTTAATTCTGTAGACACTTCATTTTCCTATTTCTTTCTTCCCTGTTTTCCCTGTATTCCCGAGTCACCGATTCTGGTGCATTAGTTGAAATTAGTGAATGAAGCTTCCAGTGATTGAAATCCTAAACGTTTGTAATTCATCAGGTCTGGATCTTAGAAAATTATTTCATCCTTTTCAGCCTTTGAACTTATTCTTCTTCTGCCCTCCTGTGGCAGGTGTGCTGGCCACCTGTCAGCTGTGGCTGCTGCACTTCTGCAATGGCCGTAGGTGGTGGGACCTTCCTTCTTGCCTGCTGCAGTTCTCAGAGGCCTCCTGGGTTCTTGCCCCCTGGCAGTCTGACATTTGCTTGCTGTCTGCTGTGACTGCCCACTCCTCGTCTGTTACATATATATCAGTTTCAAATATCTCTCAGTGGTTTTTCCCCCCAGTTTAAGTGCCCTTAAACTTTCATTCTTCCCGTGTATTCCGCAGATGAACATTGGTCTTATCCACCTCATGCCCCTGTGTGTGTGCCCATCTAAAAGTTCTTATTCTTAAGCTTGCTAGCTTAGTTCTATTTTTTGTAAACTATCTTTATATGCAACAGTAGGTAGGTAGATTTCAGGAGTAGAGTAATTTCTGAAAAATTTAGTGAACCCTTTGTGATGCTTTTACATTATCAACATGCTGACATTGACCCTCTTAGCTAGTCCAATATAAAGATTGTTAGGCACAATTTACCCACTTAAGATATAACATGGAAGATGATTTATCTGAATTCAAATATTTTAAGCCTTCCAGTTGCCTATTATGAGTATTTTGAGTGTGTGTATTATGATATACAAAAATATAAATTTTAATCTCTTTAAGCACATCTTTATTAGATACAGTGATAGATCTAATGTATCAATAAACTGGTCTATAGGTAAGTGATATAAACCAATCCATATTGGCTAATCCTTCATGCCCTTTAAAGAGTGGAAGGATTTCTCCAAATTGCTCTTCCATAGCCCAATTATTTACATATTTTTCTCTATGTATTAGGTTTCTAGAATCCTGCCTCCCTCGTTCATATCTTGGTCTTTTGTACATTTGCTGTTAGCTTTTATTACTTTAGAATATTGAACTTGAAATGTAATGTAAAGGTCCCATCAGACTCTATCTTCAAGGAAGATGGAGTTTGTGTTGATGATTACATCTGATCTGGACAGATTTTCCTATGTGGGGACACATTTAAGTCCATTCCAGTCCATTTACTCATTACTTCAGAAAGAAGTGACAGAGGAACTTTCTGTGTGTTGAGATGGCTGAGCAGGTTCTCAGCCTGAACCATTCAGAGGATATATAGAGTGAGAAGACTAAACCCCATGCACTCATGTGTGCAGTGCACAGTGACGTGTTCAGCGCAGTTCTACTGCAACAGGACTGTGTGCAAAGATCAAAGCAGATGCCTCACTGTGTTTAAATAATAAAGACTTCTGTACATGCCTGCAGCTTGAATTATATTTTGTCTTATTTTATTTTATTTATGGTGCTAGAAAGGGCTGGTGTATGTCTTGTAAGTGCTCCACAACTGAGCCACGTCCTCAGCCCCAGGTTGACTATCCAGTAGGAAAAATCAAGGCACAGTAGTAACAGACTTACTGACAGTAAACACATAGTGCACCTTGTATGTTAACTAAGTAGTTCTTACACTGTGTAATCTAGAGGATGAACTTGGTACGTATGCATATTACATTGGGTGCACCTTAACTTTTTTTTATTGCACCTTAACTTTTCTTTTCCCCCTTTAGGACTGAATTAAAAGTCTTGTTTGTTTGGGTACTAAAAGAAAGTACAAAGAAATTGTTTTCAATGGGACAGAACAGACAATAACAGTATCTGGATAACTGAACACATTAAAGAATATTACTTGCATTTATTTCTGAAGGAATTGCATTATTTTGAGCTTGAAATATACCCAGTTTGAAGGTGTGACACATTCTGCTTGAGGAATTATACAGATTTCTAACTTCAGTCTTGCCTTTAATAGAGCAGAGTGCCCAAGTTTTGGAGATAGTAAATGAGTATAGATAAGTCTTCACAAATTCCCTTATATTCTGAAGTGGGTTTTTTTTTTCTTCTTCTTCTTCCCCATAATGGACAGTTACATGCTTTTTGTATGGTTCTTCTCTTGCCCACTCCTGTCCCAGGGTACTGGCACACTGCTGAGTAAGCACTGGACCACTGAGCCCCCAGCCCAGGTGATCTGTATTTAAGGAAGTAATTTACATGAAGAGAGAGATTGTGGCAAACATTTTAAATCTCAGGCTTTGGGTTTTATTTAACGATGAAAGAAAATATCACTGTTGGGTCCAGATTAGCCAAGATTTACAGAGATAGACAGCGTGTGCCACTGACGTGTGCTGTACAGGAAGGCACTTAACAGTTAACAGTGTGCTGCACTCAGTCACCGTGTCATGGGGGGGGTGGTTCTACAGCCAGGTGTTTATCTTTTTCATCATTTCTCTTTTTGCTGACTGTTAGCATCTGAACACCTGAAAGAATATTATCTGTCTCTTTATAGATTACTATTTTAAAATATTTATTTTAGATGTCCATAGAATTCTTAATTTTTGATGCAAGTTATATACAAAAGCATATATATATTTAATAATTGAGATGTATTATTTTATTGTACAACTTATTTCCAAAGCATCAAAGCATTTACTTTGTAGATGTTTGTCTTTTGAGAATTTTTTTTTTTTTTTTTTTTGCCTCAAAAATACAAAAAGTCTTCTCTTCTGACTTGTAAGAGGCCTTCATGGTAACATTTGCTTTTCACTTATTTTTGGCTTAAGCAAAAATTTGTAAACTAATTTTGAGTTTCCAGTTGACTCAGTCGGGTTCCCATCTGTACTTAGGAGTCAGTGTCATGCTGGTCAGACTTGGAGGTGTCTTGTCTCGACCTCCTTTCCTCATGGTACTTGAACATGGTCTTCTGTGTTCATTCTCAGCCGCCAGTCTTACAGAGGAAACCCACTGTAGAACTTGAAGGGGTTAGGACTCTGTAAAATGAATGTGTTATTAACATCTATCTGCTAATCAATGGGTTAGGTTCAGGTCCTAGAGAGGGAAAGAGACCATCTGGAAAGATTTCATTAGTCAAGGAGGAAGAAGAAAAGTATGAACTATATTTTTCATGTGTTCCCATGATTTCGTATGCTGACTTTGTGTTAATGTTATCATCTGTGTTGTGTAAGTGAATGTAGAAAAGATTTAAATTTTCAATATGAAGACAACAGTTCCTGTTTCTATTTTTACAATTTAGACAGTTTTGAAAACAGATGTCATATTAGAAATTGTATTTTTAAGTGCAAATAATTTTCTTCTCCTTCCTTTGTACCCTATAGAAGGCTCTGTGTTATTAGATACGGATTTAAGTTGCCAGATTGTTTTCAGAATTCTATATTTTCATATTGCTGTAACCAGGTTACCTACAATGTGCAATTGATTTGTTATTTAAATAAATGACACTTGGTGGAATTACAGTCTGTTCTGCTTGGTCTGCATATGAAAGCTGGAATTAACATCCATTTGTCTGGCCCTTAATTGCCATGAGATACAGGCTTGACTTGACTTTTTGTTTCTTGGTGAGACTTCCTTTTTTCTCCTCCTAGTCGTATAGGCAGGTGTGAAGGCTCTTTTTTTTTTTTTTTTTTTTTTTTTTTTTTTTAACTCCATTTATTTGGACAACTTTATTTTTTCAAGCACCGATTATTCAAAGAAATCACGATGAAAACATCCTGTGTTTCAATAACTCCAGTTAATGGAATGCCCTTGCTCTTGAAGAGGTGCCACCGGTTGTGTTGAAAGCCATGTTTTCCTCATGGTCCTTCTTGGTGGGGACATAAGTGACCGCTAAGAACGCTGTCATCAACTTAGTGATTTGTGAGCCAGAGAAGTAACTTAGAGTCTGTACTTCACACAGTAAGCCAAAGTTGCACGGCTGACCTTTGAACTGTGTGACTGGGGACCTGGAAATTAATGGAAGCACAGTAACTAGCTGTGATCTGTGCTTGCCAGAGCTGGAGCAAACGACACAAGGACCGGCAGCTACTGCCTTTCAACTAATTGCCTTGGTGAAGGCTCTTTTTAAAGCCGTGTTCTTGGCTGAGCCCTGGGCTTGAAGGAGAAATGGCATAGACCATTTGCCCTGAGGGAGGGTGGGAGGGGTTGCCGTCTCTTTCATCTTTGTATAATCTTTTAAGCAGCTCAGAGGTTTAAACTAGCTTCTTACAGTCCAGTTGAAGAGTCCATTGTAGCAGAGTGGACAGAGTGCTTGTCTCCAAAATGCAGGTATGTATTTAGATTAGACTTGTCTAGATCATTGCATGTGATTTCCCCATCAAACCACTTAATCATGCCAAACTCCAATCTAATGTAAAATAGGAATGACTCTCCTACTCTGTTCAGTGTTAAGAACCATCAAGGGATATATGCAAGAGACACAGTGGACTAGTCTAAAGTTAAGCCCTTTTTTCTGCACCACAAGCCAGCTCCCCTCTCTAGAATTTAGTCTTTTGTTTCATCTACTAGCAGAAGAGATGGAGAAGTGCAGTCTAAATGTGGGCTCTGGAAATTAGGAAAAGAGGGTAATGGGTAGGTTAATTGTGCCTTGTCATCATTCTTTGGCCATTCTAACATTTCTAGAAAAACATACGTATTTCTAGATCTTGGCCACTCAAATTTACTTCTAGAATATGCTATCTTACTCCCTTTGACATGTGTGTGTCTCTGTGTGTAGAAATAGATCTGCAAACACATTAGTTCTTGGCAGATCTCTGTTCCATAGTTTGGGTCAGCTAGGGCCATCAATAAAACAAGATTGCTTCTTTTATGGGGCTTATTGGCCAGTAGAATGAGAAGCTGAGAAGACTTTTCTAACAGGGACTGATTATCTATAATCCTCAGGCAGGCTGCTAGTTTGTTTGTTTGTGTGTTTGTTCTTAAGTAATATTATTAGAACATGGCTATCTCCACTTATTAGTCTATTATTTATTACTGCTCTCCCACTACAATGAAGCCATGTTAGCAGGAACCTTAAGGCCTTCAAACTTAAAAATGCTTATTATCTGGTTCTTTAAAGGCATTCAATTGCCCTGCCTTCTGTAGAAGTTGATAATTGAAATACAAAATAAGCAAACAAAAACAGAGTTAATGAAGGGAACTGGGAAGGTTATGGTGGGAAAAAGGATTCGCTGTGATTGTAAATGGTCTGCTCCCTAAAGGGTGAAACTGGAAAGCACATTTGGTCAGGAGGGCAGCTAACAAAAACTAGGGGAGCATATTTCAGGCCTATGAGAAATGGAAGGCTTTAACAAACACGGCACCTTCCATGTTCTAGAGTCATGAACAAATGTGTAACTGGCCCGGAGGGAGTAGAGGATCTTAGAAAGGCTGCCTTGTTTGCTAGAGAATTTAGCCTGCCTTGAGCATGGATTCTGGCAGACTGTAAGAGACTCCAGAGTTAGAAAAGAAAGACATGCCATTTCTCACATGCTCCTGGCTAGAGTTTCCCTCACATCCCTCTGCCCTCCATCCAGTGAGTGACACAGAGGCCAGGTGGCTGCTACATCCCCAGTGAACTTTTGTCATAGCTGAGTAACCCCAAACTCAGGTAGTCTGAATGTTTTATGTGGATAGCAAGCAGACTAACTTGTCCTTTGTGAGAGAACATACATTATCCTTGTTACACTGGACAGGAAATAAATCAGAACTGTACTCAGGTGGGGAAAATATTTTACTTTTATCATGAAAGTTGATCAGGATTTGAATAGTTTAAAAAAGACAGTCTGGAGCAAAGCTAGTCAGTGCCTTCTTAGAGGAATAGAGAGAAACGGGAATATAAAAGCCCCGAGGAGGATTCATGATAATGAGAGAACACACACATGTATTATAATGGGGCCATTTTAAGAACTTTTACTCTGCAGCAAGAAGCCATTTGTTTTCAGTAAGTGAGTGGCACGAGCTGAGAATGGTTAGGAAAGGCTGTTCTAAGTGTCCTGTTGGGATTAAGCTTGTGGACAAGGGAAGAGCTGGAGGATTGGAGCCTATGACTAAAATCGAGCCAAGATGTAATGACCACCAGGAGCCACCAAAGTGTGGCATCTGCTGTTTGGGCCTGAAAACTGGAAAGATGGAGTGATATCAGCCAAGACGGGAGGTATTGCCAATAGCAGTCTTAGCGGTCTCTGCATAAAAGCACAGCCCTCATCTCAAAGGGGAAGAGATCGTTTATTCTGGAGCCAAATGTGAGTGGCCATTGCCCAGGAGCACACATTTAGTTACCCTAAATTCCATATTCCAATGAGGTAGCAATTTTAGGAGCATTTTATAGGAATAGAGCAAAGAATATCAGTCACAAATCAAGGCACTTTTCAAATACATTGGTGGATATGTCAGGTAGGTGGGTTATAGGAACACAGGGACAACTCTGCCACAGGCCTCCAATGCTGTCTGACTTAGCCCTTTGACTGGAAAACTGTGGTTTGTTTTGTTTTTGTTGTTGTTTGTTTTGTTTTTTGTTTTAATTTATTCCATGGGATTTTCTTTAATGTGTTAGGACAAAAGGGAGTGAAAGATGGCCATGATAAATTGTAATCAGGCTTTGGACTTAGAACACCTAGCCTCTCCACATCCTGGATGTTCTACTCAGTCAGCTGGTTCCTTCCAGGAGAGTTTGTTCACACATCAAAAGTTGGTCTGGGCTAGTCAGTGGTGGCATATGCCTTTAATTCCAGCATTGGGGAGGCGGAGGTAGGCAGATCTCTGAAAGTTTGAGGGCAGCCTGGTCTACAAAGCTACATAGATGAAATTCTTGAACAACCAAAACCAAACCAAACCAAACCAACAACAACAAAAGAAACAAAAATAAAAGTCAGTTTGGGTTTTAAGTTGAAGATCTTTTAGCTGTCTTGAGTTTGTGAAGGCAAGTGTGTAAATGACTCTGGAATTTGTGAGAGAGGTTTGGGAGCCCTCAGTAGTGTGGCATGACTAACCAGGTGACTACAAGGGTCCAGGCTTCCTACAGCAGCTACAGTGGCAGATGCCACAGGTTTGGAAATAGAAGTTCCTTCCCAGGGTTGAACTGGACACAAGCTAGAAAGGAATAGGAAATGGAGTGAAGAAGGCAACAAGGTCATGATATAAGACAGAGAAGGAAGGATAATTGAGCCTCCAAGACAGTTTATGAAAGTCAAATATAGCCTGAAAACAAGAGTGTGGATTTAAATGTTCAGAAGCAATCCCGTTGTAAAATTCGTAACACAAAATGAATACAAGCTGTGCTGATAGTTACAGTGGAGTGGTGGCAGGTGAACCCAAGAACCATGCCAGGGATAGTGGAGTGTGTGTGTGTGTGGGGGGGGGGTCATACAGCTTCAGACTCATCCTGTAAGAGCTTAATTATCTTGAAAGAGAACATGAAGCTCCCCCAGCTCTGGAAGGTTGGTGTGACAGCCCTTAGTCACCAAGAGACTTCCCCACCCTGATCTGGTCATTTTCCATTTTGCACAGTGGTAAATTTTCTCAATACATCTTATAGACCTCAGGTCCTGGGAAGAAAGTGCTCCCTCAAAGGCAGTATGTCCTAAGGTGCTGCTTGCAACAATATTTGCTGCCCATTTGGAATATATAAGTAGTGCTCTGTAACAGATTATCATGTCAAGTGTGACCACTGTCCACAAAGTTGAGCTTCTGGGATGAGGAGCTTATATTTAAATTGGTTCCCATCAGCTAAGGCAAGTCTGAATAGACAGACATGTCACAATTGCCTGTTACAGACACATGGTCTCCTTAAATAGACAGGAGAACTTTGGGTAGCAGCCTTAGGGACTACTGTTTTCTTAAGTGACACCCTGTGGTGGCTAGTTTTATGTCAACTTGACACAAGTTATCTGAAAGGAGGGAACCTCAGTTGAGGAAATGCCTCCATGAGATCCAGCTGTAAGGCGTTTTCTTAATTAGTGATTGGTGTAGGAGGGCCCAGCCCTGGTGGTCCTATGTTTTATTAAAAAAAAAAAAAAGCTGGCAGAGCAAGCCATGGGAAGCAAGCCAGTAAGGAGCACCCCTCCATGGCCTCTGCATCAGGTCCTATCTCCGGGTGCCTGTCCTGTTTTGTGTTCCTGTCCTGATGCGTCCTTCAGTGATGGACTACAATGTAGAAGTATAAACCCTATAAACCCTTTCCTCCCCAAATTGCTTTTTGGTCATGATATTTCATCACAGCAATAAGAACCCTAACTAAGACACACCCCTTCCAAGCTATCTTGTTGCCTCCACTCTCCCCTACTTCAGTTTGTACTCCTTCTGAAATTGACCTTTGGTGAGGCATCTAGGGCTCCTCAGACCCTTGGCAGGGACCCAGGGGAGTTCTTTGTTGTACGTTTCTGGAACTGTGGGTCTGGCCTCCTGGGATGTTGCTACATTTTCCACTCTGCTCAGGACCACTCAAATCGGAAATGTGGATGCATGCAGAAATAATGGCAAT